ACTATAAGTTTATTTACTACATTTCAAAATAATATTTGTCTATAAAAACGGTGAAAACGAAATTTGTGTAAGATTTATAAAAAGAATTACTTGTTTGCAGTTATAGGAAGCTCGCAGAAGTCTTGTCATCAAGTACTTTTTTCTAAACGTGTAATACACATAAAAAATCAGTTGCATACGTGGTATATATGTATGTGTTACATATATAGGGGAACCTGTTGTACCTTCGACCACGTTGTACCTTTGGTCACTCTTCTCTGTCAGCTTACTATTATTATTTTAAAAAAACGTGAAGTGCCATTTGAAATAATAGTCCATGAAGACTCTTCTTACCGTAAAACATCATACTTGGAATAGATGGTATTGATCCACAAGTAGTTATAAGTTTTAGCTCTTAAAAAGTAAATATTTGTGTTAACCTTATTCTGATTTTAAAACTTTGATAAATTGTTGTTTAATTCATCTACAACATTATAAACATTACCCAACATCATTTTCTTCTTATGGAAAAATTTGGATGGTTATGTCTGACCGTAAATGGGGACTAAGTTCAACATTTGTTTTTTCAAAGAGGACTTTGATTGTCTTTGATGATACATTATAGTTTTAAAGATATTAGAGGCATTTGGAAGATCGTTTATATAAATAAGAAACAAAAAAGGAGCAAAAATTTAATTTGGGGGTACACTACACTTTGTTTTGAGTAAATATGAATTGCTTTTTCTATCTATAAAACACACTGTTGTCTGTTATTTAGGTAGTTTTTAAACCAATTTAAAGCTTGATTTTATTATACAATAGTTTTTCTTTTTTGTCAGTAAAATCTCATGGTTGACGGCGTCAAAATTTGACGCATTTAATGCCTTTGACAATTCAATAAAGCATGATCAGTTAAGCGTAGCTTTTGAAAACCTTATTGACCTTTATTGATAATTTTGTTAGCTTTTAAATATTCATTTAATTTATTAGAAGTTCTAGAAGTCTTGAGAATACCGAAAGGACTGAGGTTGGTCTGTAATACTTTAAAAAATTTCTCCTGATTTATATATTGGTATAATTTATATATATGATTTATATATTGGTATAATTTTAGAGATTTTTAGTTTATCAGGTAAACCTGGTTACCTGTTACCTGTTGTAACTAATGAATTACGTACTTGGTAAATTAGATTACATATCTCCTGAAAAACATCTGACACTACTTCGCAAGAGATGTCATCGATCCCTGGGGGCTTGATTTTAAGTAATTTTATGGCTATTTCAAGTTTGTGTTGATTTATTTTATTAAAATTTTATTACCAGTGTAAGCCTGTTAATTAAAATTTAAATGTATTATTTGGGCATTAAATTTTTTGATGCAAGATCAGCACCTATGTTGGCAAAGTAGTTGTTAAATTTATTGGAAATATCTCGCTTGTTGTTTGATTTACTTTAGTTAACTATTATTCTAGTAGGCATTTTGTCAAAATTAGATTTACTTTTACCAACTATTTCCTTCATAATGCCCCATGTCTTTTTAAGTCTCCATTAAATTTTTGTATTTGATTAGAATATTATAAAAACTTACGTTTTATTTTTTATTTTTTCCAATAGGTTTTTGTATTGATTGTAGAGGGATAGGTTTGCTTCGCTTCTATTTTTTAAGTATTTTACGTATTTATAGTATATTATATACGTATATTATATTTATAGTTTTTGTTTTTTTTTGAGGATTTTCTTATTTCTTTTGTTATCCATGGACAACTTAAATATGTTGTTTTTATTTCTTTTTCTTGAATTAGAAAACTTTTATTATATTGTAGGATAAATAAATTTATAAACTTAATATATGCAGAGTTTGTGTTTCCTAGGTTAGATTCTTGGTAGACTTTTTGTCAATTTGTTGCCGATAGCAAGACCTTAAATTTTGAGTAGACGTTTCATTGATAATTCTTTTATTGCAAAATATTTTTGAATTAATAATTTATTGGAGTTTTGTGACAAAGAGAAGTATATTGGAAAGTGATCTGAAATAACTGTTTTTATTATTCCTGATTTTAGAGAAGTATCTTGTATTGAGTATGTTAATATATGCAGCCGTGGCGCAGTGGTAGCACACTTGCCTCAGAAACGTAAGATCTGTGGTTCAAACCCCACCTCTGGGCAAGTTTTGCGACATCGGTTGGGAAAGAGGCGTGAACTTCCTATTAAGTGCTCTTCCGCGGTGCTCTGTGATAAGACCGTAAGGACTTCTTGGGGCACCTAAAATCAACAAAAAAAAAAAAAAAAAAAAAAAAAAAAAAATATTATCAAAAGCAGTAATAGATTTGGAAGGTACCATGGTTGGTTTGTTGATAATGGGAAATATATTAAGTTGAAACATGTGAGACTAATTTTTATACATTTATTTTTTAGGATTATTGTTTTAGAAACATTTTTCATAATAACCTTCCATAGTACCATTCCTTAGTAACATTCCATAGAACATTCCATGGTAGCAATCTATGGTAACATTCCATGTTATTCAAGTGTTTTTATATAATTTTTTCTTCTAATAATTCGCATAATAAATATGTTGTAGTTTTTCTTTTGTTGTTGTTTTGTTTTATTTAAATAGAATTTATAATTTTTGTATATTGTTTTATAAGTATTCATTTTTAAGACTTTATTATACAATATTTGTTTCGTTTTTGTGGATTTTTGTTTCTTGACACATTCTCGTTTTTAGTTAGATTTTAGACGCGATAAAAGCATTTTATGTATTAATGACAATTTTTTTTTCAGGAAACGCTTTTCGTTACGTTTGCAAAACTGCCTAAGAAATAAATTGTATGCATTATTAAACTTTCGCAATTGCAACATAAAATCCCAATCATCGTTCTAATTAAAAAATTTTTTTGCGAGAACTTTTCATTGATTAGGCGTCTGTAGTTTTATTTTTTAGAAGGATATACGTTTAGAGTTATGCTTTAAAAAAGTAGGAAAATTATGCAAATAGTGGTTTATGATTAATTTAGCGGAATTACGTTATTTTGAAAATAAGATTTTAAGAAATGTTTGATTTTTTTGTTTGTTAAAAACTATTGTTTAGGTCCTCCACAATGTAAACATGGTTCCACGTTTTATTCACTTTTTTCAAAAATGCTTTGAAAATATTTCTAAACATAAAATATTTCTAAAAATTATCAGATGGTTTTCTATAGACAGTATGATTTTATGTGATATAAACTTTTTTTTTTAGTTTTGTTAACCAATTTAATGCGTAAAGACTTACAATCTGTTTCGCTCGCGAAAAGATCATCACGTTAAACAATTCTAATTCAATTTGGGATAAAAATACTCACGCCTCCACGCGTTAAGGTTTTTCTCGGTTGATAAAATGATGTTTAGTATTTTGTTAAAGTTGAGATTTTATTCTATCAATTTTGTACCAGGTTTGTGTGTTATAAATTGTTTTAAAGGCGTGTTTAAATTCATCTAAATTTGTAAACATAAGTTTTAATAAATATTTAAAATTAAAAAATTTATTATTACTTTGTTAAACAATCACACAATCGCACTTTGTGTAGGATTTTACTATTTTTTTTAGTATTACACTTTGCTAATAAAAAAATGAAATTGACACTCGCTTTTAGTAAAGAATAATTAAATAATCGAGAATAGAAGAAGACAAGTTTACTCTTATCACCATTTCTTTTAAATAACCAGCGTTACAAAGTTCATTATTTTCATCATAAAAATTAGTAGAACCGATTCTTATATTTATTATAGAATCTGTAATCGTTTGGGAATATATCAATTGCACAAAACTAAAAATTTGAATAAAATAAGAAAAAAAAAAAAAAAAGAAAAAAAAAAAATTATCCTGAACAAATAATCTTAACAGAATTAATTCACACGAGATTACCTCATATTACCCTACTCTTTTTGTTGCTTTATTTTCTCTCTCACTCCGTTTTTTAAATGTATACTGTCTGCACAAAAATAATGACATTTTAAATTTAATAAGTTGGTTTGTTGTTGTCGTACTTTGTAGCCTATTGTATACATTTATACCATTTAAATAGCCTTTTCGGCATCACTAACTGTATAAGCTACTTTTCCTGCTTGACTGGCTTAAAATTTACTACAGCCCTCTCCTAATTTTTTAATCCTTTATATTTATCGCATTCAATGAATTCAGGTTTCTTCACCTGAACTTTATATTTATCGCATTCAATGAGCAGTTCTCAATGAATGGGACAAATTCCATGGTCCAATAAAACTCTCTTTTTACCAATACTCACATGGTAACCAATTTTTTTGTTTTTGTTTATCATAGTATGATAGTTAACAGTTATAAAACTATTTTCAAAGTAATTTTTAAACAAACTTATCAACTTAAAAAAATGCATTTTACAAAAACTGTCCAATTCATTAAGGTTCTCCCCTATAAATATATATATATTTTTGTTCTTATAACAATATTTTCTAGTTTGTCGTAGTAAATAAAATATATGACCATGAAAACTCGATAAAGAACGTAAAGCTCCTGTCACCGAAAATTTTACCAAATCCGACCAACGTACCGTACCAATACCGTGAACCGTTTAACAATACAATAATAATATGACCTAATATCTCAACAACAAAATAATAACTGTTTAAGAACACAATACAAATAAATATATAAGTACTTTAAAGATAACAACACCGTTTAACATTATACCGTTTAACAACACAATAGAAAATACAATAAACTAGGGGAGAGTGACCTAGAAAACGGGACCCTTTTCAAAAAATGATAGAATCAGCTAGCTGTAAACAACCAAAAACTACAAACAGTTTTTTTACACCTATTGTAAATTATAGTAGATTTTTGTAATTTTTTGAAACACGAATGCAATATTACGCATTAGTATTTGAAATTTAGTTTGAAATGTTATTGATTGATAAGCGAAATAGATTAATACCGCTTTAAAAGTTTATTAACCGCTATATACATATATTTCCGTGCAGAAAAAAATGATAAAGACAACTAATTAACACAATTTTCAAAATTTAATTTAAATTTCTATTTTTTGTAGCCAAAAAATAAATAAACCATCTATATAAAAGGAACAATACTAATAACAAAAAGAAAGAGTAAACAAGAAAAAGAGGTTCTATATACACCATTTCATAATTTGCAATAAATACAATAAAACTGGAATATAGAAAAATAAAATGATAAAATTAGAAAAAAACCTTGTGCATTATTTACACTAAAAAAAATCATGAAACATATATATATTTTTTGAAAGCACCGCCCCCATTAAAAGTTTATTTTACAGAACGATTTTTAACGTTAAAAAAAACAAGAGCCTAATTTTAGAAATGTGAAGAACGAAAATTTTTCTAAAAAAATTTTATTTAAAAAAAAACAACTGTAAAAAATGATTTTACTACTATTTTACTAAGGGTTGAAATTTGCGCGCTGCGAGTCCATTCTACTAGGGGTTGAAATTTGCGCGCTGCGAGTCCATTCTACCAGATTGTAATCGAGCTATCAGATTAAAAAAATCTTCATCTGGCACAGTAGGTCCGCGAGGCGTAACGGGAAATTCACAGCGTTGATCGTCGATACGTGCAGCCTTATTTAAAAATTAAAAAATATCAGCTTTATTATCTTTTAAATTTAACTTTAATGTTGAATAAAGATATAAAAATTTAATAATTCAATAAACCGGAACTATTTACCTGACAACGCATTAGCATTTCAAGAAAGTTCTCATCAGGTATTCCATTAAATTTTACAACAAGTTTTTCTTTAGCTAAAACAACAACCGCGCATTATATGCCACTTGGCTTATAATAACATACACACCCAGATATATATATATATATATATATATATATATATATATATATATATATATATATATATATATATATATATATATATATATATATATATATATATATATATATATATATATATATATATATATATATATATATATATATATATATATATATATATAATGAAAAAACCGTAACAAACCGTTTTCTGATAGACCAGGTAAATCAGGAAGTGAATTTCTTTGTAATTCCGTACGATCTCCAAAATTACTCATGCTATCGCTAAGAGCTTTATGAACTAATGGTTTAGTCACAAATTCTGACCTATTTTTAGGAAAATCACAACGTTGATCATCCAGTCTTGAACTTTGTGATTTATACAAAAGATCAAAGAAGTCTTCGCCCGGGCCATCTGCTTTTGACCCATTAAGCTAAAACCAAACAGGAAGCATTAAAAAGTATTTGAAAAGCGTTAAAAAGATAAAAACAAATAAATACTCACCTTAGTGACTTTATAATTCTTCAAACGCACGTGTTTTGATTCAGTAGATATCTGGAAATAGAAAAATTTCATAGTTGCGTTTAACTTGGCAGATCTGCTTAAAGCCAACTGCCAGTTGAAAATAAAGTAAAAATTTAAAAAATTTACTTAAAAACTTAACTTTAACTGAAATATATTATTAATACTTTCCGTCAGATCTCTTTCAATAATTAAAAATTCATTAAAAAATAACAATTCAATTATTTTACAAAACAATTTTATTTAAAATTTTTTGTGTTATTCAACGTCATTTGCGTAGTGTATATATATGCGTAGTTTCCTAATCACAAAACTTACCTCGCTCTTTTTCTCATCTGTAAACATAAAAAATGCAAATAAAAATCAGATAAGATGTATTGTATGAAGTATACACATTTTTGTATGATTTTGTATCGTACAAAAACCGAAAATAATCAAATAAGAAAAACAAAAACATGAACCTACTGTGATTAAATAATTGTTGTACTTCGTTCGAAGTCAATGGAGTGGAAAGTGGCCGACTAAAAATAATTAAGTTAAGGATGAAAACAAAATTGAAAAGATCAAAACAGCACAAACCGCAACATTAACTGTTTGTTGTTGTGTTGTTGCATACATCATTGCATACATGATTTCAACAACATAAAATAACAACACTTACAAATCAATGATCCTGAAGCAAGTTTTTTGTATTTTTGTAACCTATTATCTAACTCAACTTATCATTCGCTCGTGTTTTATTTCTCTATTTTATATTATAATTTACTTTTTTATACATAATTTTTATTAAAATAAGTTTTACATTTTAATAAAAAATAGGTATAAAAAAACATATAAATGCATTATTGAATAAACATTTTGACAAACTTTATTTCAACCATTAAAATATAAAAAAAAAATTTTATTTCATATTAATAAATAAAACTATAAACAAATTATTAATGACATTGAAAAAAATTTCATATCAATTATCAAAACTAAAAACAAATTGTTAATGACCTGAAACAATCTAAAAATACAAATATAAATAGTAACTTCTACAAATTGTAGCATAACTAATTTTTTAATATATCCTTAATAGTAGTAGTTTCTAATGGTAGTGGTAATACATAAAACTTTTGTTGGTTTCTAATGGTAGTAGTAACACATGAAACTCTGAGTAGAAATATTCTACTATAAATTTAGCAATTTAGCTATTTCCCGGTATTGCAGGTAATAGTAACATATATATACTATATAGTCTAGTGAAAATACTTCGTTAACTCCATTTTATCACTACCTATCAAAAGATAATTTAAAATGTAAGCAATATAAAATGTAAAAACTTGTCACACACTTTTATATGATACATAATTTGTGTAGTAATTTAAGTGGCTGATAATTTTGTGGTGACATAATTGACACCTAAATTTTACCTCTACTGAACCATAATACTAATTATGAGCTTGACTATTAAACTTTAAACAGAAAACATGCTTGTTTATAACAAGTTTTGGATGTATATTACTTTTTCTTTAAATTCTAACCCAACTTCCATTCATTAAAAATATATTTATTAGAACCTCTATGAAAAAATCAACTTTTTCTGGGATAGATTATTTAAAATTATTTTAGAATAACTTGTGTTTTAATCATTTTTTATTGAAGTATGAAAAATTATTTTACCTTTTATTTATTATTTTTTATTTTTTGTTTATACATATTTTCAATGTAATCACATAAATTTTTTGTTTAAACATATTTTTCAATGTAATCACATATTTTTATTTATCAACACATGTGTTTGTTTGTTAGAAGCTTTATTTTCTATTTTGATGCTGATGATGAAGATAATGAATGTTGATGATGATGATAATAATCATCATTAAAATTATCACCATGATCATCATGATCATTTTTATGATGATGATGATAATGATGATGATGATGATGATGATGATGATGATGATGATGATGATGATGATGATGATAATGACCATATTGATCATCATGATCATCACCAACAACAAAACTATTATGCATTTTTTGTTTTAAACAAAAAAATTACTATTAAGCAATTTGTTTATAAATGCAACTTTATAAATATATTGAAGTATTTAAATATTTTTGTGCAACATTTTCTTTGGAATAAAATTTTACTACTTTAATAGTTACAAGTTTCATTTAACCAATACTGTTGCTAAGCTACTGAAACGATAATATTAACCAATACCGTTAAAAGCTACTGAAACAATATTGTTTTATTTAACTAATACTGTTGTTTGGTTACTGAAACAATTATATTACCCAATACTGTTAAAAGCTACTGAAGCAATATTGTTTCATTTAACCAAAACTGTTGGTTGGTTACTGAAACAATAATATTACCCAATACTGTTGAAAGCTACTGAAACAATAATATTGTTTCAGTAACCAATACACACTTTATATGACCAACAAAAAATGGCATTTTTAATGGACATAATTAAGAAAAGCAAAAAAAAGTTACTAATTTACTTAGTATTCATAAAAAATTTCAGAGAATTTGCAGAAAAAAATAGTTACATTAAATTAGCAGGAAAAAATTACAAATATACAAAAAGCATCTTAAAAAATACAAAAAGCATCTTAAAAATATTAAAATTGCCAATAATTTTGTAATTAGAATATAGTTATAAGAATTTAAGATAAATTTAATTGTAAATGAAACAACTTATTTGTAATATTTATTCAGATAATTTATAAATAAATGCGCATTTTAGAAATAAATTTTAAACAAATAAAACAAATTATTTGATTTAAAATGTAATATTAAACAATTTGATTTAGTTAAACAAATCAAATTGATTTAAAGGATTTAGGTAAGTCATGGAATTAAAGACATAGTCTTTAATTCCATGACTTACCTAAATAGTAACATAATTTGGTTAAACAATATGATTTAGGTATATGTTGCAAAAAATATATATAGTTTATTTTATAGTTTATATTGTAAAATAAATAAGTAAAATGAAACCTTCTGCTGCTTTTGCCAAGTAAAGTTTTTAAGTCAACAATATTCATTTCAGCTGTAAGTTCGCCAGTACGATCTCCAACCTTAACATGTTTAAATTATTTAAAAAAAAGAGGAGACAGGGAAGGGAAAGTTTATCAAAGTTCTTAAAAAAGTATAATAATTAAAAAAAAAATCAAAATATTTTTATTGTTCATTTTACATGGATATTTAATGACATATTTTAATCATCAGTTGTCATTGATGCTGAATTTATTTTAAAGACTTGAAAGTTGTATAAAAATTTATGCTAAACATGTAAAAATTATTTAAAAAAATGAAAAACTGTAAATGCAACAACAATGCTCAATTATATAACAATTTTGCTCAATATTATCAAAATAAAGCAAATACTAGTCAACCTACAAAGAAACCAAAACTAAAACTAAAAATTATTTTAATGTTTTTTCACCTTGCTTTATTTAAAGTATTTTTCAGCCATTTTGAATTTATTTTTTATTTTTGATTTAATGTTAAAATTTATTTCGGTAAAATTTTTGCTTGTGTTTTTTTGGTCTTGCGAGAGTCCTTAGCCTTAAGAATTCAAAGAAAAAAAGAATCCCTTTTATCAGTCAATCAAATAATTTCTCTTTCATCAGTATATCTTCACTTTAACTCACTTTGCACTATCATTGCATAAACAATCTTTTTAATGATAATTGGAACTCATGCCATGTTTACACTGACTAAGGTTTTGATTGGGACAGACAATATCAATGTATGAATAATATTTATTTTGTTAAAATAAAAATATAATTATTATAAATAAATATTCTTTTTATTCCTATTATCATATTTAACTATGACATTATAGTTGAAGCAATTTTTACAATGCACTGTTTTGCAGGATTTCAGTTACTACTACTAGAAGAATTCACAATCTTTTCCTATCTCCTTTCTATCTATCTACCTGGCTATCCTAACTACATCCTCTTTTCTCCCATCTCCTACCTTATCCACAATTAAATTACCAGCTTTTATTTCAGGAATTTCCATCTTTTATTTAAACTAACTTTCACCACAGCACTAGAACACCACAACACAGCACAGCACCACAGCACTAGAACTTTACCTTCCCAAACCCCTAAATTTTATTTGTATTATCAAACTACAATTAATATTAAATAATTATTGTAAAACAAATTAATGTAAAGAAACGAAAAAAAATATCTTACAAACCCCTTTATCAAATTAGAAAAAAAAAATACTGTCTATAGTTTAACTTTATTTACTAACTAAATTTTTTTTTTTTTTTTTTTTTTTTAATTATCTTCGCTTCCAACAAGGTTGCAAGCAACCACTTATTAGTGTTGGAAATTACTGGAAGAGAAAAGATGAAGATTGTAGAGCAAGTTAACGATTGACAGACGACTTAAAATATTGCAAATTATATGAATCAGGAAAGCAAGAGGAAGGAAGCGAATTCCAAAGAATTGATGTTCGAGGAAAAAAACTAGACGAATAAGAGTTTTTGGAGCACTTAGGAACAATAACAGAAAAAGGATGAGACTTAATTGAATGACAAGTAACACGAGAATAAATTTTAGTAGATGGCACAAGAGACGCTAGCTCTTTAGAGCAGTGCCCATTATAGTATTTGTAGAAAAGAGAAAGAGAAGCAACATTACAACGATGTGACAGAGGATGAAGATTGGCTGCAAGAGCAGGTCCAACTATGTTTACAATGCGTTTTTGCACCTTGTCTAAAAGAGAAAGGGCATCATTAGAAGATCCGCCCCAGATATGGCAACAGTATTCCATACAAGGCTGGATTTGAGATTTAGAGAGATAGAGAATAGAATCCAGAGTAGGAAAGTGACGAGCTCGATAAAGAGAAGCAACTTTAGCAGATGCTAATTTTGCAACAGATTTGATATAAGGTTTCCAAGAAAGATCAGAAGTAAGAGTTAATCCTAGAAGATGAAGGGTAGGAGACTCATCGAGTACATTACCGTTCATAAATATAGGAAGGTCTAAATTATTGCGATAACGATTGGCCGAAAAAAATTGAGTTTTATCTCAATTAAAGTTCACCAGCCACTGCGAGCCCTATGCTGTAGCAGAAGTGAGATCTTTTTCGAGCTCAGATGCCCCCTGCAAGCAATCAGAGGGAGTTGGCTTCTTATCGTGACAAGAATAAATGGTAGTATCATCAGCGAACAATGCCACCTTAGATGTGAGAATATCTGGAAGATCGTTAATGTAAATTAAAAAGAGTAAAGGGCCAAGGATTGAACCTTGGGGAACCCCTGAGGTTACAGAATAAGAAGAAGAGTGCTGTCCATCAAGGACAACTTTTATACTACAATTGGAAAGAAAGGATTCAATAATCTTAAAGATGTTTCCAGATACACCATAAGAAGAAAGCTTATGGAGGAGACCAGCATGCCAAACTTTATCAAACGGTTTAGAAATGTCAAGAGCAATGGCCTTAACCTCTCCACCTTTATCTAATGCGCGATAAAACCTATTGGTTATTACTGATAGCAAATCAGCCGTAAAACGAGAAGATCGAAATCCATACTGATGATCAGAAATCCATACTGATGATCAGAAAGTAGGTTATGAGATTCGAGATGAGAGATTAAGTGTTTGTTAATTAAAGATTCAAAAACCTTGCATATGATAGGAAGAAGACTAATGGGACGGTAGTTAGATGAGTCAGATCGCTCTCCAGAATTTTTTAAAATAGGGATAACAGATGCTGCTTTCCAGCAGGCTAGAAAACAAGACTCTGATTAGCACTTGTTGAATAGTTTTGAAAAGATAGACGACAGCTCAGGAGAACACTTCTGCAAGACTATAACAGGTATGTTGTCCGGGCCACAAGCTGTAGAAGAGTCTAAGCGGGAAATCACTTTAGATACAGAAGCTGGAGTGATACAAATGTCGAGCAATGGATCAACCTGTTTGACGGGTATATCAGGTAAAACGCAACTAGTGGCATCAAAAGATGATATTGATGAAAAGTTCATGGCAAACAATTCAGCTTTGTCTTTAGGTGAGGTGACAAAGTCTGAACGATAGGGGGATTCTAATGGTGAAGAAGAATGAGATAATAGTTTTAGAGAGACCAAACCATGATCAGACGCACCTAAGGGTGAGTGTGAAGAAACTGAGCACTGACTAGGATCAGAAACAAGACATAAGTCGAGTAGAGAAGGTAAATGATTTGGGTCGTCTGGAAAGCGAGTTGGAAAGTTGACTATTTGAGTTAGGGATTGAGAAAGACAAAAGTTGTGGGCCTTAATGCCTGCAGAGTCACTGACACTAGAGCCAAGCCATTCAGTGTGATGAACATTAAAGTCACCGACAACAACAATATTGGCTGATGGATAAAGAATGAGGGCTTGGTCAATATAATCAGAAATAACATCAAGAAGAGTGCAGTCTTGGGATGAGGGAGAGCGATATAGAACAAAGAGAAAGGTGATAGAGTGAAGTGGTGCTAAACGAAAGCACATAAAAAAGTAGTCTGTGGATTCAAACCTAGTTTCCCGACAAATGGGTGAATTCTTACGAATGTAAATGCCCAGGTCAAGCATGTGACTATTGGAGTCTTTACGAACTAAAGGAAGATAACCATCAACACTAAGATCACAAGATGAGACAGCTGAACTCAAATTAGTCTCACAAAGAGCAAGCAAGTCTGGTGAACTTTGCAAGAGATAAGACTCAACAGAAGAAAAGTTACTTCGAAGACCACGAATATTGGTGAATGATAGGTTTAGCGAACTTGGTGATGACAGTGGTTTTTTGTGTTTTATAGTTTTTGTTACTTTATTCATTTTTAAATTTGTTAAAGAACTTGACTTGAAACATTGATAGTACTCAGTACACTGTTCTATAGCTCAAGCAATTGCCTCATTTCCACTAATAAACCCTAAGCCGTAACAAAGGGCTCCAATGTGGCCTTGGCAATGCACACCAAAAGTACAAACAGGGACACCATCCATGCGCAACATGGCACTGTTAGTACTCAGATATTTTTCAGCTGTTGATGGAATCAGCCTCTCTGAGAGCTACCACAGAGTTCGGGAAACCTGACTACCAGCCGGCCTCAGAACCATAAAACTGAGTTTTAGAGCTGTACCCTCATTTGGAGATAATAGAATGAGTTGCCTAGTCATAAAAACAGAGACACAAGCAAAACCCATGAATCGAGTCAAGAAGATCCAGCGTTCAACATCCTAAACTGGAAACAATGTATTAAAAATACATCTGCGCCAGCCTAATAGATGACGAAGGGGTGCGAGGCTGGTCAACAGATAGAATCTGTTTAACCCTTAAGTCTTTGCCTAGGAGGCCTTCTACAAGACAGCAGCCGGATGCATGTAACATCTGCCCAAGACGAGTATTTTTATCGAGACACCATCTCTAGCCTTCACTCAACCAAGAGCCCCAAGGCAGGGGGTGTTTTATGTCGGAGTTTGCATCTCCTAGCCTTTGCCTAAAAAGGCATATCCTACAAGGCAGCAGGACATGAAGCAGATTGTACTGGGTTACATGTTACCAGTAGCAGGATAAACCTGACCTGACAAGGTCTTAAAAATAGTTTTTTAAATATTAAAAAAAAAAAACTTTTTAAATATTTAAAAAAAAAAAAAAAAACTTAAAAATAGTTTTTTAAATATTTAAAAAACTATTGTCATACTGGAAATATTTAAACAGTTTTTACTATTTGTCTATTGTTTCAATAATTATTATGTTGCCAAGTAAGTTGCTAACTAAGTTGTTAAGTAAGTTGCTAACTAAGTTGCTAAGTAAGTAAAGTGTAAAGTAAAAACTTTTAAATTTTGCTGTACTGAATTTGCTAATACTTTATTTTTGTCACAGAAACTTTGATAAAACAGTTTGATAAAAAAGAAAATTGATAATAAACAATAGAAACAACAAGTAATAATTAATAATAAACAGTAATAAAATTAATAATAACTTATGTAAACAAGCAACAAAACAGGTAGCTAAGAAAAAAAGAACCATAGAAAAAATTAAAACTTTAATTGGACTATACCAAGACTTAAAAGGTTTTACGTTGTATAAGTCAGGAAAACATAAAAATGGGAGTAAGTTCCATAGGGTAAGTGACCGGGGTTGATATTTGAATGAGGCCAGGGCTGGGTTTGATAAAATATAGCCAAGGGTAGGGCTGGGTTTGTGACCAGGGCTGCATAAACATTAATACATCCTAAAGTATATTTTTTTAATTCAAAATTTATGTTAAATTTTGAATATAATAGCATATATAAAAATCATTATGATTCATACTATATGTAAGGCACTCTCTTCAAGTTTTCTTACTTCTATCACTACCATTTTTTACTGAAGCTGCTATCTCTTTACATGCTGATACCTAAATCACTTTAATTTTTTCTAACAAACGTTGTTTCATACAACATTTTTTCTAATCTGTCTAAGATTATGCATCCTTTTCTTATCTTGCTAGAGTCACACCACACATCCGTCTGATCATCTTCTCTTTCGGAAAATATAAATACTCAAGTTTATATAACAATGAAAGGATATTGTATGCCAGATAGTAAACATATATGCTTATTCCATAGTATGTATGCATAAAGCGCATTTTGGGAGCTTTTATTCCTTCTCTTCAATTTTAAGTTGAGCCTCTATTCCACATTTTTCACCATCTTGAGCAGTTGTTTTATTAAACATTAATCTTTTTTTTCTGCTTTTTTACAAGAACATCTTTCATAAGAACAAAAATCCTTTTATAATTGCAAAAAGCCAATGTAAAAAAGTCCTGTCTGATGTTAAGCTCTGTTATTCTCAGTTTACTAAATCTTGTATCTTAACACCAATGTTAGGTTCTAGAGACTTTGGTTAGTCTTCAACAATGTCTTTAACTAAAGAAAGTCTAACATTTAATCTTTAATTCATGGGTCTGATCATTTTACTTCTCGCCAATATAAAGCAGAGTTATTTGCAATAACTCTTGAATATAATGGCCATACTCTTCCTGACAGATAAACAGATTAACCCATTGTTAAACATTCAAATCACTCTGGCTACCAATGCTAATGTTAATTCTCAATTAAACACTCCTACAGTTTTTGCTTCAGACAAGACTTACATCAGTCTTAAAAAAGTGCTCTTCATTTTTTGCTAAACTTTTAAAAAATGATAAATAAGTGATTCCAATTTTTCAAGTCCTAGAAAACACATTGACCTCTACAACTATCCTAAGATTAGTACTCACTATGTTATTAGTCTTTTGTTTTGAGGTTATTAAATTATTTCATTCTAACTGCATTACTAAAGTTATTCTTAAAGGCCTACTCTTCTTTATGTCACTTTAAGGGTACCACAAAGTTCTATCTTTGCTTCTGTATTGTTTCTTATCTACAATAACAATCTTCATAAAATCCAAAATGGCTCTATTTGCTGATGATTTTAAAACTTTTGGCTTCTTGTCTTAAAAAAAATCTTTAACTATTTAATTAGTCAGAACAACCAAATTTTAATTGCTTAGAACAAGCAGTCGATTCAACAAGTTGCATCCTTTTACAGTATCTGTCCCTTTATGCATCATACACCATATAAAGAAAGCTTATGGAAAAGACCACTGTGCCAAAAAACCAAAAACTTTATATATGTTAAGAGCAGTTGCACTTGTTTCGCCATCTTCATCTAATGCACAAATCTTTTAGTTAGAGTAGTTAGCCATTGAACAAAAAAAAATCCATATAAATTGTCATTGAGTTATCAGACTCAAGAAATATGTTGATTATTTGACCTTGCTATTGACCTTGCTATTTATAAAGATCGGAAAATAGTGAAAAGGCTTAGTGTTCTTTAAAGATTAAATAGTTTAGAGAGATTTAAAGAACGTTCTGGAGATACTTTTGTATAACTATGACAGGAATGTTGTCAGGACTACAAACCGTAAAAGATTTGAATTCAGCAACAGAAGCCAGAGTGATTTAAGATTTAGAGATTTTTGGAGAGATTTGTATGTCTAACAATGGGTCAACTTTCTTAATTGAAATGGCAAAAAGGATTTAAAAATGGTTTCTCAATCAATAGGTAAGTTGATGTATGGGTATATGTCAAGCTTGTGATTATAGGAGTGTTTGTGATTTAAAGGTTAGTAGCCATCAATACTAAGATCCAAAAAAGAAACATCTAATTTCAAATTAGTCTCACAATAGCAAGTGTTTATAGTGAATTTAGAAGAGGTAAAATTCAACTGATGGAAAGTTACATGGAAGACCAGGAATATTTGTAAAAGAATTTATGAATGTATACAAATGTAAAAGTATTGAATGGTTAGGTTGTAACACTGTAGCAACACGGTACTGTTAATACTAATGATTAACAGTTGATGAATAAACCTCTTTGAGAGCTACCAAAATGTTTCAGAAACCTTACTATCAGCTGGCTTCACAACCATTAAATGAGTTTTAGAACTGTAAGTAATAAAGAGATTTATTGTGCTTGTCACTTTCTTACTCTTCTATTCTTTATCTTTATATATCTCTAATCCATCCTTGTATGAAATATTGTAGCCATATTTAAAACGGATCTTTGAATAATATCCTTTCTCTTTTATATAAGGTGTAAAAATGCATTGTAAACACAGTTAAACCTGCTCTTGCAGCCAATATCCAAACATTAAATCGTCGTAGTGTTGCTTTTTTTTCTCTTTTCTATAAATACTATAAAGAGCGCTGCTCTAAAGAGTTAGTGTCTTTTTGTGCTAAAATTCTACTAAAATTCATTCTCATAGTTACTCGTCATTCTATTAAATTATAAAAATTCATTTTGTCAATTATCATTCAATCAAGTTTCATCATTTTATTGTAACTGCTCCTAAGTGCTCGGAAAATTTCGACCCTCACAGTTGGGTCGGTATATATATATATATATATATATATATATATATATATATATATATATATATATATATATATATATATATATATATATATATATATATATATATATATATATATATATATATATATATATATATATATATATATATATATATATATATATATATATATATATATATATATATATATATATATATATATATATATATATATATATATATATCATATATATATATATATATATATATATATATATATATATATATATATATATATATATATATATATATATATATATATATATATATATATATATATATATATATATATATATATATATATATATATATATATATATATATATATATATATATACAACCCTTATACCACGTAGTGGTTTGTGAATATTAAAATTATATATATACACATTAAAAACAATTTGATTGCTATAAACATTATGCATTATTATTATTGAAGTTTTCCCTGAATTCATCGCAATACATATTCATTAAGAAGATTTAAGTATAATAAATATAACCTTTACAAACAAACAAATATCACAAAATAAATATTAACCTCTTTAGAGACTTCTAAGTGTTTTTTGGCAAATGACAAAGCAACTTTATGATTTTCCATACATGTATGTGCATTTCCAAGACTCCAATATGCTCGTCCCTCACCAACTCTTATTAAGAAAAAAAAAAAATTTAAGATTTTATTTATAAGATATAAAACTGTCATTAAGAAATCTTTAAGATTTTATGGTTGCAAGTTTGTGGAGGTAAATTCCACCTGAAAATTACATTTTCAGGTGGAATTTACCTCCACAAAGCCAAGAAGGCCACTACAGATGAGGAGGCTACTTGTGGTTATAACCCTCTCTCAACTCTATTACTCTGAAACACGAACCTTGACAAACATAGCTGCTGCGCAGGGAAACAAGTTGAGCGCAGTACTACCAGGGGTGTGGTGGGAATCGAACTTGGAAGCTCTCGCTAATAAAGCAAGTGCTCTACCACTACACCACTACCGCATTTTAAATACTGATTTATTATCTAAAACCTAGGACACTTGCAACTTAAATGTACTTGTGCAAACTGTAGAAAAATTTAGAGGCCAATTCTTTTCAGAAAAGTTAACAGAAGATTCTTCATGCACATTTACAATATATGTATGTAATTTGTTTGAAATTAAAAAACACTAACATTTAAAAAAAAACTCTTTGAGTCTTGTTGCTAAGCAACACTTTTTGGAATACATAAGTTTCTAAATAGTAAAAATATTATTGAATGTTCTGACCGTTGGCCTGATAAATAAAACATAATCACAATTGGTTAAAATAAAGGTCCTCTATCTACTCAAAGTCTAATTTTCCACCATAGCAACCTAATAATAGCCTAGCCTTGATTTAAATGCATAATTTAAATGTGAAGCAATTCATTTTGTACATAAAAAACCAACACAAATGAAACAAAAGTTGTTTCTGTAACAATTTTCCCTGTAAAACAGTTTTTGGTCAGCATAAAAACAAAAAATATCAAAATATTTTTTACTAATGAATATTCATTTATGTAAAAATATTTAAAATTACAGAAAATTCCATGATCTTAAATATATAAATATATCAAATGTTGTGATTGTGCAAAATATAAATATGAAATAATGATAATAGAACTTTAATACAGATTACACACATATGCAATACACACATATTACGCACATATCACACAGATTACACACATATGCAATACACACATATTACACAGATGACACACATATGCAATACACACATATTACACACATATTACACACATATGCAATACACACATATTACACACATATTACACAGATTACACACATATGCAATACACACACTTGAATTTTTTTTAAATTATAATTAGCTGAAAACAAAAAAAAAATAATAGAAAAATGTAAATAAACATACTTACTGGGAAAGTAAATTAATTATACTCACAGACAAACTTTTAAAAATTATGCAGTTTTAAAACAAGTAGTTGTTTGTTTTAAAACAAGTAGGTTCACATTATGTTTTTAAACAAAAACTCAACTTTCAATAAAGTAAAGATATTTTACAGATTTTTTATATTTTTAGACTTTCTTTGTTTTCATAGAGTGCAACTAGATTGAGAAAGCATAAATTTAATTACACAAACTATTTCTAATTTCTAAATGTAAAAATATGCAGACTAATAATAATTTTTAGTTTCTACATGTAACCACTCTATCAAATTTGTATCAACCTTCCCTCTCATCAGCATTTGATCTATTAAAGACTTTATTGAAACATTTAAACTAGGGCCCTGCGAATCACCTTTTTTGGTATTGAATCAAATCTGAATCAAATCAGGGGTTGATTGACAAATTAGGTCGAATCTCAAATCAAATCAGCATTTTGAGGATATTTATGTTTTAGTTAAAATTTCCTCAAAAATGCTTGTGATTTAATTCGATTTGCCAATCTAGAAATTTGGTTAATAGTAGCCTGGAAACAAAAATACCCTTATAAGCTCACTTTATCTGCCTATATGTGTGGGCAATAAGTTAATAAATTATTTAGTTTCACTATCTTACACTAAGTTTATCTAAACTTTTTCAATTTCATCTAATTATATTTTAGTGTTTAAAAGGTATGACCACATGTTACACATAGATTGTGAAACTAGGCAGTTCATAAAATGTGTAATACTTTACTCATTTTGTGAATCGAATTATAACATTGCACAATTCACAGTGTTCAATTGCTTGCACATTATACAAAATTATTTTTTTAATTTTTTTTGATTTACTATCAACAAGGCTGCAAGCAACCACTATTAAGTTGGGAGTTACTAGAAAAAAAAAGAATTGAGTTATAAAGCAAGCAAACTGTTGACAGAAGACATAAAAATTAGTAGGTTGTATGGATCAGGAAAACATGAAAATGGGAGAGAGTTCCAAAGTGTTGAAGTGCGGGGAAAAGCTAGATGAATAAATAAACCTTAAGGTACCCCAAAGGTTATCGTTAACAAAGAGTGTTGGCCTTCGAGGATGACTTTAAAAAAGCCGATAGAAAGAAATTATTTAATAATCTCAAAAACTTTCCCAGATACACCTTATGAAACAAGCTTATGGAGAAGGCCAACATAACAAACTTTGTTGAAAGTCTTATGTATTTCAAGAGCAATCGTCCTAGCCTCTCTGCCTCCATCTAATGCACAATAAAATTTTTCAGTCACAGCAGTTAGCAAGTCAGCTGCATGTAATTTGATTCAAGATGGGATGTGAGAAATTTGTTGATCAAAGACTCAAAGACCTTGCTAATAACAAAAGACTGATTGGACAACAATTGTTCTTAAGAGTTTTTGAAGATTGAAACAACAGATTTTCTAACAGGCAGGAAAATAAAACTCAGTCAAGCACTTACTAAATACTTTAGAGAGAATTGAAAAGAGTTCTGGAGAACACTTTTTGTAAGACTATGACCACAAGCCGTAGAAGAGTTTAATTAAGATATCACTTTAGCAATGGAGGCTAGAGTGATTTGAATGTCTAAAAATAGGATATTCTGTTTAATTGGAATGAAAGGAAGAGAATGGCCATAAGATTCATAAGTCAAATTTGAAGAAAAGTTATTTGTTAATATTTCTGCTATATCCTCGGGAGAGGTAATAAGATCAGTCCCATAAATGAGATATGGAATGTTAGACCTACTAATTTATGACGTTATTGAAGATTTTCTAGAAGTCTCTAGAGCCTAACTTCTGAGATAACAAAATCACAAAAAAAAGTCAGCTTTAGGGTAGTAGTAAGCTGTGCGATGGTAAAGTGAGTTCGAAAAGAAATTATGAGACAAAAGATTTAAAGAGATCATTGCATGGTCAGAACCACCTGAGGGAGAGAAAGTAGAAATTGAACACAAACTAGGATCAGAAACAAGACATAAATCAAGTAGTAAAGGTAAATGATTAGGGTTGTCAGGAAAACGAGTCACAAAGTTAACTATCTGAGTAAGAGATTGAGAAATGCAGAAGGCTTTAGTGCCAGCAGAGCCTAAGGTGCTCACCCTCAAAGTCCTGGCCAAGAGGGTAGACAGTAGATGGGTACAGTATCTCTAGCCTTTACTCAACCAAGAGCCTTAAGGCAGGGGATTTTTCAAGTCAAAATTTGTTTCTCTTAGCCTTTGACTAAAAAGCACTTACAAGGCAGCAGGGCATAGTGCAAGTAGTACTGGGTTACAGAATACCAGTAGCAGGGTGATCATGATCCTGAACCTGACCTAACCTGGAATTATTAAATGGAACTACTTAATGGAAACAATACTTTGAAACATCAGGCGTGATATTTTGGAAATGCATTAGGAAAAATATTTAAAAATAAACTAGAAATTAAGGTGAGCATAGGTTTATAGTTGGAGTAACTAGTTAGTTAATGAGATTAAACTGCATCAAAACAGATTTAAAAATTTAAACAGAATATTTAAACAGAAATTTAATACACATAAAATAATATACGAGTGAGTAAAGCCAGAGGTTCAGACAGAACACAAACATACTTTTAAACATAAACAGACATAACACAAACATACAATAATAAACATTAAGTAACTAACTAGTGAATAAACGATGCACCAGAAGTTCAGACAGAACACAAACATACAGATAGCGACTTACAGGTGAGTCAACACTATGGCAGAGATTTAGACAGAACACAAATATATATTCTATTTGTGGCACATTTCATAAAATGGTACATTTCATTAAATCCGAGTTGTGCTTTTTAAAACTTCTCAAAATTTAAACTACATTTAATTTACAAATTTATTATTGTTATATCAGTTATATATCAGTTTAGTGAAAAACTTTGTTTTTCGCTAAACTGATTTCGTAAGTTACAGTAATATAAGCATCTATGAGTTTAATAATATTACTAATACTATTATTTATTATTAGTATTTTTTTAGTTTATGTTTTATATAAAATACTTTGTTTTTAGCATTTAAAATGAGTGAACAGAACACATTTGAGGCTCTGTTTAACATAATATCGGAATGTAAAGCATTAAGGAGTTTTAAAAATTTTGACAGATTAAAGAAAAGTCATGAAAGGAAAGAAGTATCTTAAAATTTCAAAATTTTAAAAACTTTTTACTATGTAAAACTTTAAGTTTAGGTGGTATGAAAAAAGTAATAAAGTAAAAGGGATATTGCAACAAAAGAAAATGTTTTTGAAATAATTTGAAATATATATTTGTCCACTGGACACAAATGTAAAAAGAAAACTCACAAATAAATAATGGAAACATATTCAAATGTTTCAAGACAGCTTATTAATGAGTTCATTAAGTGATGTGAAAGATGTACCACAAATAAAAAAGGAAAGAAACTGCAAGTGGACTAGATATAAAACCTATAACAGTTGATGATTTAAACTAAAAGAGGTAAATGGAACATGTGGACTTTCAAAGTTTAACTGATAATAAATATAAAGTTAACTTAGTTTTACAAAAGATATACAAAACAATAGATTTAAAATTAAAGATATACAAAATAGAGATTTTAAATTAAAATTAGAAAATATGTATATATATATATATATATATATATATATATATATATATATATATATATATATATATATATGTATATATGTATTTATATATATATATATATATATATATATATATATATATATATATATATATATATATATATATATATATATATATATATATATATATATATATATATATATATATATATATATATATAGTAGGACAATGACCGCCAACATTTGTTATGACTTAACAGAAACAAACATTGTCATAGCTTAACATAACTCCTATTTGTGCCAAACAAATTGAATCACATTTTTTTATTGCACACATAGTTGCTGCCCTTGGCTCATTTTTTTTTCATATGTAATCTAGATTTTTAAACAATTAAGTTACTAATTCAAATTGTTTGTTACATTTTGATAGAACATATATCATAGATATCATTTGTGATAAAACATATGTCCTAGTCAATAATAATAGCCTTGATAAATAATTTACCATCTTCCATCAAAGTCCAATTCAAAATATAAAAACAGTTATATGTTTTGTTTAAATGAATGAAAAAAAATTTTTATGACCCAAAAATTTAGGAAATGTGCTTAAAATTTAAAAATGACACACTATGACATATTGAAAAGTTTGTTAAATGAAAATGTGCATCAATGAAGATTATGATTTAAACAATATAAAGAACTTACAAATTATTTTACATGTTTTATGCATTTTAAGGTGTTGATTCTAATATTTTTCTCAACACTATTTACAATATATACTCATATACTGTATATAAATCATATATATATGTGTATATCAAGGGCTACTTTATTATATTCTATATTTCTATATATATATAATCTATTCAGGGGCTATTTTTTTTAAGTTCGCCAGAGTTATAGAGTTGGAGAGGGTTATAACTACAAATAAGTAGTCTCGTCTTCTGTAGTGGCCTTCTCAGCTTTGCACAGTGGGCCAAACAGCTGGTCCACTGAATGTCCTCATTCATACCAGAATTTGCAGAATGATTTGGACTTGTATCAATTGTCAAAAAAAATTAAATGATATCCATAATCAGTTAATGGTGTCTGTTGAATTGACAATTTAGGAGTTTTTTCTTGAGAGTCTAGTATGTATCAACCTTAATATTTTGTTATTACCTTTTAACCTTGAATCAACAAGATTTTTCAAACCACTTTCCTCATTAATAAAAGTTTGCTCCCAAGAATGATCAATCAGTTTGTGAAGCAATTGTGTTATACTGATCCATGGTCCAGGTAAATTTATTTTTGTAACAGGTGGAAACTCGTTAAATACGAATTTTTGCAATCATTTAAAAGAAAAAAAACTGCAACTACCAAAGCTTACTGCTAGGCAAAGAAAGGTATCCTTAACAATTAAATTAAAAATAAAAAAATTTATAAGAAGCCTAGATTTCATATTGAGTACTAATGCAACTTAGTGAACATTAAACTAATATTAAATTAGTTGATGTTTTCGTCTCAAAATTAGCTAAATTTTAAACAAATTATGTTATATTATTTTTTATTATTTAGTAATTATAAATATCTTGCATTTTTATATTGTTATAAAACATCTATGTAATACTAACAACAAAAAAACATACGGAAATATACATTCTACTAATATATAAGGATATATATATATATATTTTAATTTTATTTAATTTCTATTTTTATTTATACATATTTAAATTTGTTATTTTATTATAAAAATATATATTTTATATTGATTTTTGTTATTTTTATTTATTATATATTATATTTCATTTTTATTTTCATCTATTTACAAAAATAATAAATTACAGTAATATAACCATATTTAAACTTTGCGGTAACACTTAACCTAAGCCTGACCTTGATTCTTACTCAAACTAAACCCTCAGTCGATGTAGCAGCAGTCCAATGCAAGTCAGGCTATTTAATAGTTGATGTATGTACTTTTCATTCTCTATAAAAGTTACTTACAGGGAATTTTTTTTTTTAAAAAAAAAATTAAAATATATATATATATATATATATATATATATATATATATATATATATATATATATATATATATATATATATATATATATATATATATATATATATATATATATATATATATATATATATATAGATACATATATATACATATATATTCATATATATACACATACACATATTTTTCATTTTACTGTTAAAGTCACGCAACTACAATTGATTGACTCACATATTTTTTATATGTACAGTTAACATTATTATTATATACACCTATAGTATCACTTACAGGGACAGATTTTACATAAAAACAAACACATACAAGGACATTAGCATTATTGGGGGCATTTTAGTGTACCCGCTAAATTTTGTCCTCGTAAGAATTTTTTTTTTTTCATTTTTTTTTTTTTTTAAATTTCCTGTAAGCAACTTTTATAGAGAACAAAAAGTACATACATCAACTATTGAATAGCCTGACTCGCACTGGAGTGCTGCTACATCAACTGAGGGTTTGGTTTGGGTAAGAATAAAGGTCAGGCTTAGGGTTAGAGTTACGGCAAAGTTTAAATATGGTTATATTACTGTAATTTATTATTTTTGTAAATAGATGAAAATAAAAATGAAACATAATATATAATAAATAAGAATAACAAAAATCAATATAAAATATATTTTTATAATAAAATAACAAATTTAAATATATATAAATAAAAATAGAAATTAAATAAAATAGTATATATATATATATATATATATATATTTATATATATATATATATATATATATATATATATATATATATATATATATATATATATATATATATATATATATATATATATATATATATATATATATATATATATATATATATATATATATATATATATAATAAAAATAGTATAATAAAAGTAAAAAAAGCATAACCTAAAATTAAAATACCTATCATTTAATTCTTGTGCAAATTGCAAATGCAAAAGATGGTATTCAATTGCTAATTCATATTTTTTCAGAAGTGTGTATGTATTTCCTAAGCTGTAACAAGCCTAAAAATATACATGTATAAAATTATATAAAAGAATAAATACAGATGCTATTAAACTAATATATACTTATATATATACACAGTACTGGAAGTGAGGCAGGATATGGCGGGATGCCATCCCGTCATCTTTTTATAAAATATAAATCATTCTGCCACCTTTTTATAAATCTCCATATATAACAATGATTAGGATGGTATTTAATTTATTGAATACCATCCTAATCAGTTACTTTTTTTTCTCCACTTTGAGCACTGTATATACATATACATATAAATACTTGTATATATACACATACACCTATATAATTTTATATACATACACATACATACATATATATTTATATATACATTTATATACATACAAATGGTAAAAACATTTTTCAAATTATGTAAGACTTTTTTCCGTACTATTTAAAACTTAACAAAAAATATTACAAAAAGAACAATTGGCACTACAAAGATTTCTTTACTTTACATTTACATAATATACATTCTACTAATATATAAGGATATATATATATATATTTTAATTTTATTTAATTTCTATTTTTATTTATACATATTTAAATTTGTTATTTTATTATAAAAATATATATTTTATATTGATTTTTGTTATCTTTATTTATTATATATTATATTTCATTTTTATTTTCATCTATTTACAAAAATAATAAATTACAGTAATATAACCATATTTAAACTTTGCGGTAACACTAAACCTAAGCCTGACCTTGATTCTTACTCAAACTAAACCCTCAGTCGATGTAGCAGCAGTCCAATGCAAGTCAGGCTATTTAATAGTTGATGTATGTACTTTTCATTCTCTATAAAAGTTACTTACAGGGAATTTTTTTTTTTAAAAAAAAAATTAAAAAAAAAAAAAATTCTAAATTTAGCGGGTACACTAAAATGACCCCAATAATGCTAATGTCCTTGTATGTGTTTGTTTTTGTGTAAAATCTGTCCCCATAAGTGATACTATAGGTGTAAATAATAATAATGTTAACTGTACATATAAAAAATATATATATAAATATATATAAATAAATATATATATATACATACATATATATATATATATATGTATATATATGTATATATATGTATATATATATATATATATATATATATATATATATATATATATATATATATATATATATATATATATATTAATATATATATTAATATATATATTAATATATATATATATATATATATATATATATATATATATATATATATATATATATATATATATATATATATATATATATATATATATATATATATATATATATATATATATATATATATATATATAAATATATATATATATTAATTGGCTAAAATTAGTTGAGTCTGGTCAAAGAGGGTGAACTTATTGCTGAAAATGCCACTTAATTTAGGTTACATGGAAAACAAGGTAAAATAAAAGCTTCAAATTTTAGGTCTAACTTCTGCTATTCAGTATAGCGGTTTGTATTAAAAAGTTTCATAAGGTGTTGATAATTATATACCCATTCAAAAAATATATAAAAATTTATCAGTGGTAACTTGCTAAGGAAATTAAACTTGTTTTTTCAATATTAAATATTTAACTTGCGTTACATCACTTATGTTACTAAGCAATTATTATTGTGATTTTTTTAAACCTATTAATAAGAGTTAGAGTTATATAACAAAAGAATTGCAAAAATATTGAACTCATTCATTAAAAATAATTAACAAAGGATATTATAAAAACCTGGTAACATTTATGAAAGTTATCGAATAACAGTTTCTGACCAAGAGCAACTTAAAAAAATTATTTTAGTATGACAACTTTATCAATACTTATTTAAGTCATTTAAATAAGAAAATCTTTGGTTTGTCAAAGTTTTAACTTACACTTCTTACATTTATGCGTATTGCCTTATTTTTATTAGGTTGAATTTTTAAAATGTTGCAAAGTATTTACATTTAAATCTTTTAAAATATTTTTGACATAAAAACTGCTATCACAGTTAAGGAAGAAGAAGGGTATATGTGATCGCTTGTGATAGGAGGGAAGGGGTTGAAAATTGACAAATATTGGGTGATGTGCTTCATGGATGAACCCCCACACAAATGATTTGTATTACTAAAACAAAAATAAAAAAGGTTTTAACTGATTTTTTTTTATATTAGGAGAATAGCAAATGAATCTTTTTTTAAATGTGTAATTAAAATTATTTATATAATTCCTTTTTTTATTTATTTATTTACATTCATATGTCAACTAAAACAAGAATACTTAAACAAATAAAAAACAATAATATAAATAATTTTAACTAACATTAAAAAAATGTAAAAGATTTTTTTTCTAAATTCTCCTAACATAAAGAGTTTCAGTTAAAATCTTGTCAAACAAAAGCGAGAAAATAATAATTACTTAAGGATGTAACTCACTTTGTAAACAAAAACTAAACTGAAAAAGCGCCAAAACTTTAGAAAATGCATGTAGTTTTAATTTACATAACACAAATTTAAAATAAAAATTTGCTTTAACAAAGCATTGTTATTCACACTTAAAATGTAAAAACGTAACATTGAATATTCTTTTGCATATATTATTAAACAAGTAAATTTAAAAATCAATTTTTAAAATCCAATGCTTTTATGTTATTAAAACAAAAATTTTGCAAAAAATTTTTATCTGATATTATTGTTTTATTTTATTAATACTCGGTTGTATGCGTGTGTAAAAAAACAAAATAGTTCAGAAAGATGCGGGTCATGAACCATAGACATTCCATTTATGAACTCAGTGCCTAATCCAAATGTGCTAAACAAACGTATAAGTATGAAAACAATCAATATACTTATTTTTAAAATTTTTTTTTTTTTCCATATAAAAAATAAACTTAATTAAAATTAACTAAAATAATTGAATTTTATTGAATTACAAAACTAATAATTGAATATTGTATTGTCATCAAGCAAGAGTATGTATGCAAAATTTGAAGAAAATCTATCATCAGGAAGTGGCACAAAAATTGATTGCAAGATTTGATGCTCACAGACAAACAAACAGAGACGATGAGTTAATGAAAGCATTGGTAAAAACTTAAGTTTTTTAACTAAGTTTAAGAAAAAACAAAACTTCATCATGTTTTTGTTAACTTACGTTCATTGAAAATTGCAAAAGTTCTTTCGTTATTTTCTTGAAATAATTCATTGTTAAAATAACATTTTTATAATGATACTTTTTCTATCATGCAACAATAAGAAAAACCGACTTTAACTAATTTTAGTACTAAAGGTATTTTAATATTTTTATAATAATAAAATTAATATTTTATACTATATACTATTTTATAATATATATATACATCTATATATATATATATATATATATATATATATATATATATATATATATATATATATATATATATATATATATATATATATATATATATATATATATATATATATATACATCTATATATATATATACATCTATATATATATATATATATATATATATATATATATATATATATGTGTATATATATATATATATATATATATATATATATATATATATATATATATACATCTATATATATATATATATATATATATATATATATATATATATATATATATATATATATATATATATATATATATATATATCCAACAAGGCTGCTAGCAACCACTATTAGTGTTGGAAGTTACTGGAAAAGACAAGATAGAGTTTATAAAGCAAGATAATTATTGACAGAAAACTTAAAAGTTTGCAAATTTTATGAATCAGGAGAACAAGATGAAGGAATTATATGTATATACATACATACATACATGAAAAGTATTTGTTTTTATTTAATTTTTGAAAAAGGTCACTTACCGCAATCTTTGATTACACATTGGCTCACATATCAGTGAATTTTTTTTCTTCAAAAGCGTATCAATCTGGGTCTCAAAAGAACCAGAATTTCATAGAGATTTCAGAAATAATAATGGCTTTAAAATAAAAATGAATTGCTTAAATTTTATATACAAAAAACAACAATTGAAAAAAAAAAATTAAAACAGTTTTTTTTGATGACATTTTGTTTGCAATATTTTTTAAAAAAAATGTTTTAGTATATTTAGTAAAATCACTATAAAATTCTGGTTCTTTTGAGACCCAGGTGGATATACCTTTGAGGAAAAAAATTCACTGATATATGGAAGCCAATGTGCAATATAGGGTCATGGTGGGTGACCTTTTTCAAAAATTAAATAAAACCAATCACTTTTTAGTTACTTTGAAAACAAAGTTCATCTGTTTTTTATATTGGAAACTATAATTTCAGAATCTCTGGTTTTTTTTGTCTCGGTTCTCGGTCCATACGGGACAATATTTTTCTGAGACGAGATCTCATTTGGAACCGAGATTAAACTTTGATAAAACTGAGATTTTTTTAAAAATGTAAAAACTATGAAAATAAACTGAAAACATCATGTGTTTTACAGTTTTTTATCATTATTATATTAATGAACCAAAAGTTTTCTACATTTATCAAATTAATGTTGGCTCTTGAAAAAAACTTTTCAAAAGACTTAAGTCATTTAAAGTTGCAACTGTCATTCTCTCCCGTTTCTTACTACCGCGATTGCTTGAAATAGAAAAATTTTGCTCATATCGAATCGATGTTGGCTTTATTAATTTCAATGCATTTTCTAACATGCATAACTTTTCTAATTTGAATCCAGTCGTAATGAAGCTGTCAGATTCATCAGCAGTCCACACCTCCTATTTATCTTTTTTTATATGATTATATTTTTGAATAGCATTTCTTATTAGTTTCGATTTTAAATTGTTTTTTTTTTTTTCATTTATGACTTTTTTTTCTAATCTCTCCAATTTCGCATTTAAATCTTGTATAAGTAAACTTTTATCTCAGTTGTGCAAACTGATTCAGATACTTCATTGTTACTTCAATCAAAATATTTTCCACAACTTCTCCACTTTCTATACCACTTCTTCTGTTGTTTTTTTTTGGTATTGAAAAATGCTTGAGTGAATTTTTTCACTTATGTTTTACTCTAACATATTTAAAGACTGTAAGAATTGTATTATATTTGACTTTTTTTTTACCCATCTTATCTGGTTTTTTCCCATTGGTCAGCATCAAAGTTTAACATTAAAAAAAAAATTGATTGAATATAATGTATTTGAATGGATTCTAAATTAACTCATTTTTAGGATTAATTACATAAAACTGTATTTTCTTATGCTTACTTCACATAAAAAGCATGTGTTTGTAGGTATCCAGTTAAGTCATTTCTCATACTCCTACATATATTTTATACAAATTTAGTAGTAGTCTTTAATCACAGTTGCCATTTTTGGCAAAAAGATGGGGTCTAAAATCATAAAAATCGAACAACCAATCAAAAACGATCACACATATGTCCGCTCTCTGAGAATATAGGCTCTCTACTTATTGTGATATAAAAAAGTGTTTTTCTCTCACTAACAAATACAAAAAAGCAACTGGTTTAGAATGAAGTTTGTAGAAGAACTTATTTAAGGCATAGACTAGTAGCTAATAAACTGCACAAGTCTTTAGTAAATATCATTATTTAAAATAACATTTATATTTCATATCAATATATTAAAGAACCCTATCAAAATCAATAATAAATTATTTTAGTTGACTTTTGTTAGCTGATATAGACTAAAAATAATAAAGCCTCAAATTCTCTCTGCATTGTATGAAAGTACAACACGTGATCTTTTTTGCATGTTTCTTTGCCGAAATCACTCGGAAGTTTGTATCTGGAAAACTCTTTGAATCAAACTTTTGAAAGTGAATAGTTTCTCCTGCCTGTTTGCTGTAAATTCCCAGTCCGTCATTTGGACATCATTTCTAAAAAACTGCTTCACATGACAAAATAATATATGCCATTTGCTACTCTCTGTTTTGATCTCCAAAGTAATAAAAATATCAAAAAAATCATATAATTCTTTTTTAAAATCCATACTGAGTATCTTGCTAAAACAGGAGTAAGCCACACTATCAAAAACATCGCAAAATCCCCTAAGATCTTCAAGAAGAGCATCTCTAAGCATATTTGTTAATCTCATCAATTTCTTACACTGGTTTCCTTCAAACTCTCCACCATGAAGTTTTTGTCTGACAAGGGAATTCCTTTCTAGCAAGATTTCCCATTTTTCTTATCCCCATCTTGTTGATAGGTTATTCCACAATAGATTAATTGTTCCTGTATAGAGATAAAGTTCAGGTATATTGTATACTTTCATAATTTCAGTTTCATTATCTCTCGGTGGAAGTGGCTGATTCTTGCAATTATAAAACTATTTCAGCGATGAGTCAGAATTACATCCTAGTTTCCAAGCAAGATTTTGCACTCTAATTGATCCAAAGGTTCGTTTATCTCGTCTAGAGTAAAGCCAATCTACATAATTAGTACTCTTATTACAGAAGTGACAAGGATATTTTCAATAGTTTCAAATCAGTGCAAATTTTAAACTGAATATTTCTAAAGTTTTAATTAATTTTTAATTTTTAAACTTTTAATATATATAAGTATATAAGTATAATACTAATAGTAATAAGTATAATTTTTTTTTCTTTCATAATTCTCCTAAATACGAAAAATTCTCCTGGGACTAATCCTAAGAGTAATGTCAACGGACTTTTTTGGAATTTCTTTTTTCAGGTTCAGATAAATGTACTTGGAATAATTTGATCTCTTGGTGATATTATCACTTAAGTAACTTGCCACATCAATAGTACCAATTCCAAGCTTAAATAAACCTCTATCGCCATCAACAAATACTTTCATCTTAATATTAAAAGTGTCATGTTTCTTTTTTCCAATTATTTTAAACCTATTGATTTTCTTCTATTGATTTTCGACCGTGCTTGTTTAATTATTTTTAAATTATTTAATTATTTAATTTTAAAAACACTGTTAATTAATGAAACATGCTTTTCAAATTTTGTGAAATACCTTTTTGTTATCACTATAATCATACCTTGCTAGAAAAACTTAATTTGGGCGTGTGCACTTTTTTAAAACATAAACACTGTTGTAGCAAGGTGTAGCGAGTCAAATCATTAGGATCAGTGACTTGGATTTGTTGTTGGGCATTGGATTCTCTTTTCTTTCTAGGTGGGTCGTTAAGCTTTAAAGCAAAGTTTGAAGTTGTTCAATGCTTTAAGGAGGCGAGAAGATGTAACTTTAGGATCATTGGGAGTCTGTTTGACTGTCTGATGAGCTTCAGGTGCAATATCCACAACATCATCACTGTCATCATTACTGGATGGAGTGAAAAAATGTTTAAGCCAGAGTCTTTTTGCTTCTTTAATAATTTCTATATTTGATAAGAGTAAGACACTTTCAGCTCCTCAAGAACTCCTGGATTGTTGAAAAATTTGAGCAGACTAACAGTTAAGATCAGACGTCTTTTAAAAATCTTTATTTTAATTTCTTCAATCAAACGAGCACAAATAAAACTTTTCTTTAATCGCAATTCCTCTAAAAAAAATTCTAATGCGCCTTGTGCAATGTTCCAGTCAGCATCATCGCCACTCATGGCATTCATAGCCATTTTACATGGTTGAAAAGTTGCTACTAATTCAGGAATGCTTGTCTCTAAATAATCAGGCCAATCATGCCCAAATGATTTAAGAGTTTTTTTATACCTGGGATCATGTCTTTGAAAGCTTTCAACATTTTCAATGCACTGTTCCATCAAGTTCTGACATCAAGAATTAGCAATTTGAATTTGATTCCAAGAGTTTGAGCATTTTCTTTAAGCTCTTTGATTAATTTATGCTTGTCTTTGAATTCTTTTACAATAGTTTAAACATCTTCGAGAGTTTTAGCACTAGGCAATGCAGGATCGTACTTAAATGCTTCCTCATCTTCCACATTTTCTTCATCATTCGCCTTGGTTGGTATTAATGAATGCTAAAGCAGATCTGACAGTGTTTGAGGTCAACAATATTGCTGTCCTCATTTTTATGTTGTCATCGTGATATTTTCTTTAAATTTGATTTAATTGCTCAAAATAAACTTATAATAAAAGAAGAACAACTCTTAAATTTTTATGAAAAAATAATTTAAAATGATTTTATTATTCACTCTCAATAATCAGTTAGCATAGCATAGTGGATGTCATGATGTTTCATGAAGGCCACAATCAAGGTCTAATTTGTGAACTAGGAACTTTAATATTGTAAAATGTTTTGTTTCTTATTGAAGTGTTGGTTGTTTTAGATTTATTTAACAATATTAGGGAGGCACTGGAATGTAAATGTTGAATTCTGTCCAGAACCGGATTAGCTGTAACTGTTAATAAATTTTCTATCAGAATTCCGGCTGAAGCAAGAATTAAATTTTGTGTAACTTTTTACCTTCAAGATTGAAATTAAAAGCCTGCAAGCATTGCAGCTATATAATATATATTTATAACCTAAAACATTTATATATAACCTATTTAATTAATTTGATTCTTGTTTCATTTAAATCTATTATGTTGTATTTATTTGTTTCTTATAATTTTATTTATTGAAAGTTTTAACCTTTGATAAAAAAATGACCTTAAAATCACAAAATCCGGCCGGAACAAAATTCTGGTACATCCCTTAATAACATATATTTATTTTTAACTATTATTTTTTTTAGAATAAAAATTTGATGCACTACCATTCTACACTGTTTTTTGCTGCCAAATTTATTCAAAGTTCACTAAGCAATAATTTATACAAATGGTTCTTCCCCTTTTCAACCTCCTCTGCTATTTACCCAGCACAAATAAAGTTTTCAAAATTTCAAATTTTCCAAATTTTTTTTTAAAAAACCTATTGCCTCTTACAGCTGTTTTTTAACATTTCAAAATTATTATTAGTTGTGTCGATTTTCTTCTGCGGTGTACATATATTTAAAAAAAAAATTTAAACTTGATTTAAATTAATAAAATAATTTTAGGTAGGTAATTCAATTTTTCAGTACTTAACTTTCTGTTCAAATCTGTTAACAATTTACTTTGTTATTTAATTGTCAAATTTATTTAGACCAACAACATCAAACACATTAACTAATGACTTGGTTAAACTCAAATAATTTTTTAAAAAACTTTTTAATCACCCACTTTAATATCTTGTGTTGTAAGTAACAGTATACACTCATAATTATAAAGTTAAATACAGCTTGAAATAAGTAACAGGACTAACAAAAACATGACAACTTATTTATCATCATTTATTAATGTTAATTATATAATGTTGAAATTTAATGAATTATGTTTAACAGAACTTTTTCTGGAACACCAGTCAAAAGGTATGGAGTCACACCTGGGGGTACAACACTAATACATACATGTATGTAAATGACAGAACAATTTAATGATATCACAATACTTTTTTTAACAAAAATGTTTTTAAAAATTAATAAAACTTTAAACATTCTTTCATTAACATTTCCAGTAACATCATATATATATATATATATATATATATATATATATATATATATATATATATATATATATATATATATATATATATATATATATATATATATATATATATATATATATATATATATATATATACATATATATATATATATATATATATAAATATATATATATATATATATATATATATATATATATATATATATATATATATATATATATATATATATATATATATATATATAAAGATAGCATTTAAAACATTAACTCACAAAAAGATTTTCTTTTGTAGAAAAGATTAATCATAAAAAATTCACAATTATAAACCTATATATATATATATATATACATACACACACACAAATATATAAAAACAAGACAAACTAAGAATTTAATTCTATTACAGCAACAAGAAAAATCAACCTGGGCTTGAATAGCTTTGTCTTGAAGTTCAATTGCTAATTCTTTTGTTTTTCTGGAAAAAATATTTTTTGTAGAAAAGTGTTTTATGTTTTATAAAAAAAAATTAACTATATTATAGAAAATATATTAAAAAAAATATAATACATTTGTTTATGTTTTAAAATATTAGAAAAAACAAATATTAGACTTGACACAGTTCTACTACCCTGTAGGTATTTAATGCCCTAATAAAATGAAGTCAAAAACCCATCTTATCTTCATTTAAAAAAAAAGTCTTTAATCAACATATATAAAGATAGCATTTAAAACATTAACTCACAAAAAGATTTTCTTTTGTAGAAAAGATTAATCATAAAAAATTCACAATTATAAACCAGGCATTAGCAACACTCTGTGAGCAAAAAATATAGTTGTTAATAACATTAATATAAGGAATGGAAGACCTGCATCTGCTTGTCTCAGAAGATTGGTTTTACATAATTGTTGTTTTTTTAAGAATTAAAGTGCAGATGCTTCAAAAAAAATATTTCTAAATTTATAATTATCTTAGTTAATAAATTTTTTTATTAATAAAGTTAATTAGCTTTATTATAATAACTTTCAATATAAGCAAAAAAAAAATTTAAAGAAAGCATGTTTGCTCAGATATATCAACAAATTGCAGATATAAATTTATAAGCAAAGCTGTCACAGATATAAATTTATCAGCTGAGAGCTAAATGCTAAAAACTGGATGCTGGAAAAAAGTCTAAAAGATGGAATATGAAAAAAAAATTAAAAATGAAAAAAAGAAGAAAAAGTATGAACGCTGGAATAAAAAAATCCTTGACAGCTGGAAGCTGTAAAAAAAAAACCTTGAGAGCTGGAAGCTGGAAAAACAAAAAATTCCTGAATGCTGTAAGCTGTAAAAAAAAATCCATGAATGTTGTGAGTCAGAAAAAAAAATGCCTAAAAGCATTGTGGGGGAAAAAACAAAAAACTAAAAAAAAAAAGCTGGAATAAAAAAAAAAACTGAGATATGGAAGCTTGAAAAAAAAATCTCTGAAAGCTGGAAGCTGAAAAAAAATACCTAATAGCTGAAAGCTAAAAAAATAAAAAATAAAAACCTGAAAAAAAAACCTTGAAAGAAGGAAGCTAATTAAAAAATATAATAACTATTTATCAAGAATAGAAAAGAAATACTTAATGAAAGATCATAACAAGTTCATAAGTTATAAAGTTTTTAAAATGCTTTTGCATATGCTCTGTAAAAAAAAGTTTATAAGGTGCATTCAAACTAAATGCAATAAACCAGGTCCAAAACAAGGAAAAAATTATCAAGAGATTATTTTGGAAAAACTTCTCTGTTGAAAACCCTGATCTGTCTAAAATGTTATGTTCTAATTTCAGAAAAAATAGTTTAGAGGATTCAAAAAGATTTTTATTCACTGCTTGACCTAAGTAGAAAGGTAAGTTTTATAAAAAAATAAGTCAATAAAAATTATATTTTTCATTATTATTTGTCTGCTTATAAACAATTTTTTGTTTGAAATAAAAAAATAACTTCTTATTACTTTTAGGTTTTAATATTTGAGGTGGGAAATGCGAGTGTTTTATTTGTGTTAATGGTACTGAAATAGTAACTCTTCCACCAATGGTATCATGTGAAAAGTTTTACCAACCACAATCAACAATTTAGTAACTCATAACCCCAAAATAAAAATAAAAACATTTGGCACTATAAAGCTTGTTGTTTCTATTGGAGTAGTTGAACCAAAAACACCTTACTTTTTATGCTACAGAGCAAACTTCATACAAGGTTTAGATTGTCTATTACAACTTATTATAATAAAATATTATTTTATGCATTTTTTATTTTTATTAATTTGAAAGTTGATAATTTAAAATAAATCATCATTCTTGAATTTGAAGTTGTTTTTTTATTATTTAATGTGTTGAAATAACTATTTCTGGTGTGATATGCAATAATGTTGATGTGTATGTTGCAACAGTTTTATGACATATTTAGATTGAGGTAGATAAGGGCAAGGCTATATAAAAGTTACCTTACTAATTACATTAAACAGCCAGAGCTGGAATTCACATTTGAGTGAAAAAAAAAGAGTGAAATAATCTGATTAGTATGGATGTAAAGATTTCAAGCATACTAGTGTTCGCAAAACTTTTTGGCGGTATTACCATCTATTGATGAAAATTATGCAAACATAAAAATGTTGTTGGATGAATTAAAACTTAATTCTTTAGATCTCTATTTCAGAAGAGGTTTTTAGGTTCTTATCTTAGAAGATATTAGGTTCTCATAATGGTTGGAAAGCAACCAGCAGCTTTAAAGCATTCTTGTCCATTTTGTGAAACAGAATCACCAAATTTGCTGAGAACTGAGTCATATTCTCTAACCTCTCTATGCAAATTGTATAAAAAATGGATGGTTGGTGGAAGAAACATTGCAAAAGCTAAAAATTTTAGAAACATTGTTAAACCTTTTTTATTTATTGGAAATGCATCAAAGAAGATTATGGAAATAGTCAATATACCAGGCTTACATATTTTGTTAGGCATAATAGAAAAATTTCTCAAACTAATTGAAAAAAACTTCTTTGAGGACACTAGTCAAAAGTTTCATTTTGTAATTAGTTATTTATCTACAATTAATATTGCCAGAGCATCTTATTAAGGTAAACACAGTTTAGAAGGAAATGAATCTTGATTGCTTTCAAAACTTGATTGCTTTCAAAACTATCTGTATGTGCATAATATTATTGATGGAAAATATATGAAAGCTTTGATAGACTTTAGCAATGTTATTCATGTTTTGGGAAAACATTCTTAACTACTCTGATTATTTCTACAAAGTTTCAGAGATCTTGGTTCAAACATTTCTATGAGAGTTCATATAGAGGAGCATTATGTTGAAGAGTTTATTGTTATGAAAGGAGGAATCTTAGGTAAGTTCGTATTTAGAAAAATTAATGATAACTTTTTAAATTTTTATATATAAAAATAATTTTTACATATAAGTATTTTGAATTAAGGTTTAGGGTATTGGACTGAGTAAACATTAGAACCAGTTCATCAAACAATTTTTAGAAATACACAAAGTAGGACAACACAAGGCATTTAGTTAAAGGGTTATATATAAATAAAAAGTATTTACTTTGTAACTTTAGTTAAATGTAGTGTTTTTCTAAAAAAAACTATTTTATTTAAAATTATTTCATTAAAATACTAAAGATGATCCTCTTCAATAAAAAAGAAAGCCAACTTTAAAAAAGTGATAAATTAGTCTATGTTATAACTAGAAAACCCAAATTATTAGAAGTTATTTCTAAATACGATCCTCAATGTGTCAATCCATTAGGTCAAACAACTAAAAAATTATATGCAACCTCTAGTTAAAAAAAGTCTTATAGCTTAGTTTTCTCTAAAAGCTACCAAAAAAAAATTAAATTTTGATAGTTTTGGAATGTGCACATAGACTACTTTCAAAAACAAACAAAAAAATTTCATGGGACATAATTTAAGGTCTTTGGTCACCTTAAGGGTACCCAGGAGCTGGAAACAAAAAAAAAGGCCTGAAGCTCGAAAAAAATCCCTGATAACTGGAAAAAAAAGCCTAAATGCTAGAAACTGTTTAAAAAAAAGAAAAAATAAAAAGCTGGAAGCTAGAAGGAGGAAAGAATAATGCTCAAAGATTAATAAAAAAAACCTTGAAAGCTGAAAAAAAACATACCTGAACGCTAGACTAAAAACCCAGAAAGATCAAATTTGGAAAAAAAAAACCCTGAGAGCTGGAAGCTAGTAACAAACAAAAAAATCTCTGAAAAAATAATATCGGGAATCTGGAAAAAAAAGTTGAATCCTGGAAGAAAAAAATAGGCCTAAAAGCTGGAATCTGGAAAAAAAAAACCTGAACGATAGAAGCTGAAAAAAAAAAAGCCTGAAAACTGGAAACTAGATAAAGAAAAAAAAAACCTGAGCCTAAAAAAAAGCCTGAAAAAAAAAAAAAAAGCTTGAAACTGGAAGCTCGAAAAAAAAGCCTGAAAGATAACAAAGTAATAATCTAACTTTTTAAGAGTGTTGCGGAAAAAATGGTAAGGTTTGCAAATTAAAAGGATCTACAGCTTTTCTTTGGTTAAAGGTGATCAAATAAGTATAAATTATAAGAAAATTACAAGTAAAAAACAATTGAAATGTTGAAATAAAATTTATACTGTTCTCTGAAAAGTCAAATTTTGTTTGAAATTTTCTTACTTGTAATATTCTACAGCTATTTCAAATTCTCCAAGAAAAACATGAGCATTACCAAGGTTACTAAATGCACGTCTTTCTGCAGCCTTATCGTTAAACTCTCTAGCCACTAGCAGTCTCTAGAGTATAAGTTTTAACACAATCAGATGATAATTAAAAAGTATGTAAAAAATAACAGCAATAAAAATATGAAAATAAAGAAAAAATAATTAGATAGTAACGAAAAATCGAACCTTTAAAAAAAAATAAAAATAAAAACATTCCAAATATCAGTACAACAAATATCAGTATAACTTTTAAATTTACATACAGAGGCGATTTTAGGGTGGGGGTGTGTGGGAGGGTTGATGGTGCTCTACCCCCGTGTTGGCACCAAAAAACACATTCAAGATTTTTTTTAAAGAGACCCATATATGCAGGATTTCACCAAATATGCTTGATTTGAAGGCCCACATTTATATATATTTAATTACATATGTATATATATTTAAATATACAAATATATAACCTATATACACATATATATATATATATATATATATATATATATATATATATATATATATATATATATATATATATATCAATAAAAACTGACCTTATCCAGTTAAATCAGCATACTTAAGCAATAAGTTATATTTGGATTTCCTTAGTATTAAAAATGACACTGTGCTGCAACAAGCACATTTTATTATGCTGCGGTAAGCACTTTTTGTTTTTTCATTCCAAAAAATATACAAATTTCACCGCGGTTAAAAAAATTTACCATCCCCGCTATTTTTTTTTATTATTCAATATTTTGTAATTACGTCAGAACAAAACAAGAACATCAAAAATTTATTACATCCTCAATATTTTATGCTTATCTACTACTAATTCCATAGGTTACTTGAGATAATACATAAGCTGTTGTCATGCTATTTAAATTATGATGGTACTTGATGAAGTTGCTTAAGATGATACAATTTAGACGCTAAAGATGAGATACAGCTTTTTATTAAGAAAAGTGCGTTTTTTAAAGTTATTCTCCGCAGAGCTTTATTTTGGTATTTCAAGAGCAAAAGTTTTTTTCAAAAAAAAATACCATTAACTTTTTTAGAGATTAGAAAAATTTATTGTTTTTTTTTTATGGTTGAGATAATTACTTTTCACTTAAGTATAGTTCTTGAAGATACAATTTTATTTAATTTTTTTTTTTGTGATTATTTTTTTGTTATTTTGAGTTTAAGTTCCATTAAAAAAAGCTCATCTTAGGAAACTGGTTCCTAAGATAAAATGATTGGGTGTGTTGAAGAAAACGCTTTTGGTATAAAGATTTTTTTTTAATGAATTATTTATTTATATTCTTTGAGAGGAAAGGTAAAATTATCATTATTCTTAAAAAAATATATTTCTTTTTGTTATCTTTTGGGAGCAAAACATTACACTGAAAACATACACAACCTTCTCCTATACAAGAAATGATGTATTTTATGTTTTATAAACAAAGTTTTTGAAAGAAAGCTTTTTCTTCAAAATCAGTTAATTTTTTTACATTGTTTTTTGTTTTGTTTGAATCAGCATTTTTTCTAGTGAGTTTCCAAAGTAAACAAAATAATGCCAGCTATATTTTAGTAATAAGGCTAAATAACTGTAACATTATTTAGTTGTATTATTAAAATATTTAGATATATATAACTATTTTAATAACTATGTATTTAAAGATTAATAGATTATAATTACTTGTAAATTTTTGCTCACGAAAAAAAATGTGTGCTATATGGAACACCCTGAGCCGTGAGAAGTGATGAAAAATTATTTATAAAGTACAAGAGAAAGTGTTTATTAGTGTTACAAAAACAACGGTACAACCAATTTTTTTTTTGTACGTGCCCCAAGAAGTCCTTGCAGTCTTATCAACTTGAAATTCAAATCGAATATATATACAAATTTTAAGGTTTTCCATTACATGTCAAATCTTGAAAGACTTTACAACTTTTTGATGAACTTTGTTAAAAAAAAACGGTTACTAAAGTTTATAATGTTAAATATTAGTTTCAACGTATTTGCGATCACTGAAATGAATGAATCTGGAATACTTTCAAATAGAAACAAAATGCTTTATTTAATTATTCGTATATATAGAAAAAATATTTAACCTTTTAAAAAGCAGTATTACCACTGTTCTCCTAATTGACCACCAGGTTGAAACTCTCCCCACTCTCAATTTTTTTGAATTTAATCAATCATATGCAATAGTAAACACAATTTATGTTACCAAAAAAATCTGAACTAGGAGCTGAGTATGTAAATTTTGAAAATTAAAATATATATATATATATATATATATATATATATATATATATATATATATATATATATATATATATATATATATATATATATATATATATATATATATATATATATAGATAGATAGATATGTGTTTATATATTTAGGTCAATAGAAGTACTATTAGACGAGCCTCTTCACTGCTAAGTATCCATACAAATGTTGAAACAGAGCCAAATGTTTCAAAAGCAACTGAGAAATTCTGTGGGGTTTGCTACTTAAATCTTGGTATCAATAATAAATACTATGGTATTATAATTTAAATAAAGTTCATTGAAAGGTATTTTTTCTTTACTTTTTTATCTATTGAATCAAACTGTAATGTTTGATTTAATAGTTTTATTGTTTTATTTCCAATTCAATTTTCAGTCATTAAAAAATAGTTATAAAATTCTCATTGTTAATTTTAGGCAGAGGAGTTTTTCACGATTGCTGCAAAAGTAAAGCTGTAAGCAATATTATAAATATGAGTCGCTTGGAGAAAAAAATGCAGAACAAATAGCATCTGGATTGTTAAAACGTAAAATGGAACGTGAAAACATTGCAAGTGGAGAGCAGTTCATGTTGCCTACGGACGGAAACCTTCTATCAGTTACAGTTGGAGTGAATAAAATGAAGTCCAAAAGAAATAAATTAAACCAGATTTCATTCCAAACCATTATGTAGCTATCAAATGTATTAGAACTTTCTAAAAACAAAACAAAAAAATTTATGTTCTACTTTTACGGAGGAGTGTAACTGATGTTGTATAATCAAGCATTGATTTTAAAATGAACGAACTGCAGGAAACTCTAGATACTTTATATGAATGCAAAACAGAGGAACTTGTTGATGGAGAACAGACAGTTTTTAGAGATATAGTTTATGTCAAAAATACAACAGAACTTATTCAATTTATAACTGAAAGAAGAGGCACCGATAATCTTAATGCAATGGTAAGAACTTCTATAGATGGCAGTCAAAACTTTTAAATGTTTTTGATCTAAAAAATCACTATTTCTCATCGGAAATATAATTCAGAGGATAATGGCAAAAATCTCCAAAAACTATTGGCTCCTCTAAAACTTGAAGAAGTGAATTTTAGTCTCGCATTTTGCAATTGTGCAAAACGCGAGACTAAAATTCAATCAAGTGTGCAAAAAGTATTTTTGGACTGTCAAGTCACTCTGGCAAATATGCCTGTTTGTATTGTGAAGGGGAATGCACATTAGAAACAAGAAAATTTAGAAATTTAGGCTCCATAGACTTGTATTATGATCAATATGTATGTGATGGCAGAAAAAGATTAAAAATACAGGAATACAAAAATGTTATAAATCCTCGTTTAATTTACTTACAAGAAGATCAAGAAACTTTTCTTGAACACATATGCAACCACCTGAGCTCCACATTATGATGGAAGTTGTACATAAACTTTGTACTTTGCTTTTGTGTGTTTGGCCAGCTTTTGAAAATTGGTTGAAAAAACATTACATACTAATGAGAGGGTATCACGGTGTAGGCTTCGACGGAAATAATGCTAATAGATTTTTGTCCCTGTTAGACGTTTTAGAGAGAGATGTCACCATTACTGCAGCAATTAATATTTTACCAATAATTGATTGTTTGCATAAATTTTCATTAATAAAATCAGCAATGTTTGGTTTGGAATTGAGTACAGATATTTCTGTTAAAATTGAAGACTTCAAAAGTTCATTTTTTAGTCTTCAACTGTATACCAAAGATATTATTGACTACAATTTAACAGTATCATGGAAAATACATATTTTTGTGTGTCATATTCTCCCTTTTGTAGAACACAATAATACCAGCTTAGGTAACTATGCAGAATAATGCGGTGAAGCTGTTCATCACAAATTTAAAAAAACTTGGGTGAATTATAAAAGAACTAATGGACATAAAAATTATGTCGAAAAGCTGAATTCTGCTGTAGTGAATTTCAATTTAAACAAGCAATAGTGAAAATATCAGATGTGTTTTAAATGCATTTATTTTGTTGTTTTATTATATAATAGATTAATTTATTGGGTTTACTTAAATACCATAATGGCTGACTTAATTTAAATTTTTGAAGAAAAAAAGCAAAAAATGATGTTTTGATTATTAAAATTTACATAGTTAGAACTTAGTTCAGATTTTTTTGGCAATATAAATTGTGTTTACTATTGCATATAATTGATTTAATTCAAAAAAATTGGGAGAGTTTCAACCTGGCAGTCTCATAATAATCATTGGCTAACTTAAATAATTTTATCTATATGACGACTGATATAATAAGCGATTTAAGTGACGTAACGATCAATTATTTTTTCCAATATCAACTTTGTTTTGAGGCAAAAGTTACGAACGGCTGCATTTTATTATGCAAAATAATAATATATATGCGCTTGAAGTCCAACAGTTCAAGTAAGAGATTTATTAAAGAATTTAACTTGTGGAATAAAAAATAAAGCTAATAAATATCATTTGTGAATCATTTTCAGAATATAGTAAAGGGTATAAAAATTCAAAAAAAAGACCCTTCAATGATAAATAGCAATAGGCCCAAGCGGGACTCCCGCATAGCCTCTGGGGCCAGCACGCAACTGATGACTACAACTTTTCTTGGTACTTGGGGATCACTTTTAAAAAATTAAAAATTATCAATTAAAAAATTAAAATTTAAATATGATTTACCTCTTCATGAAACTGAACAGCCTTTTCAAAATTACCAAGAAGATAATGAGTATTTCCAAGATTCCCAAAAGCACGACCTTCAGCAGCTCGATCACCTAGACTACTTACTATAGCCAGATTAGCTCTAGATTAAAAAATATACAAAGCTCAATAACTTTAAGTTTAGTTTTATATTAAAGAGTTTGTAATTATAAATTCATTATGATAAACTATTTTCATATATTGTGATGATATAACGTGATGATGATATAATGGGATAATGGGAGGATTGCTATTATATTATTTTAATGATGATCATGATGATCATGATGAAGACGATGATGATCATGATCATGATCATGATGATGGTCATGATGATGATGATAATGATGACAATATTGATTTATTGTATTGATGTAATATGAGAAAGTTCTAATTTGATGATGCTAATCATCAATCTAATTTAGTGATTGTTATTATCTGGATCCAGGGTGACAAAAACTCAGGTTTTTTTAATTAATAATTTATAAAAAGAAATTTTCAAATATTTTTAGAAAATATTTTTTAACATAATTTAAAATTATAATAATTTAAAAAATTATTTTCACATTAAATCTATATGTATTGGTTTAATTTTATTTATTTTTTTTTCTATGCATTGGCCTAGTTCATAAAGGTTACGGAGTTAAAGAGTTGAAAGAGGGTTGTGACCACAATAAGGTAGCCTCCTCAACTGTAGTGGCCTTCTCTGACTTGGGAACTGAGTAACAAAAAAGATAAAAAAAATTGAAATCTATATAAATATTTGAATAAAAATTGCAATAATAGGCAGTGTGAATAAAAAAAAGTAATTGCTCACAAGCAATGGGTTTGAGTAAAATTAAAAGCTAAAAACCAAATGCTCATAGCAAAAGCAATTGCTAAAAAATATGTGAACTAAGTTTTGCTTTTACTCATAAGCAATTTTACTATTACTATTTTGTGATTTGAATTTTGTTTTACTATTACTATTTTAAAATTACTAATTTTACTATTTTGTGATGATAAAAAAATACTAAGAATTTGATGACATGTTGGAAGCTTCATCTCTGAAATATTTGGAGAAATGAACCCCACAAGAAAAATGTCAGTACTTATTGTTTCCTCAATTAAAGTGAGCTAACATTCCTTTTGTTTTCTCAATTAAAGTAAGCTAACATTCCTTTTGTTTTTTCAATTAAAGTAAGCTAACATTCCTTTTGTTTTCTCAATTAAAGTAAGCTAACATTCCTTTTGTTTTCTCAATTAAAGTAAGCTAACATTCCATTTATTTTCTCAAAAGCTAACATTCCTAACATTGCTTCTGCCTAGGAGTAAATGCTTTATGCTGCTACCAATAAAAATTAGTTGTTTTTATTTTTTCATTTAAAAATGGCTGCTTTTAGAATAAATTAAACAATAATAATAAATAAAATGAAAATAATGATAACAAATGCAAAGATGAAATAATGAATGAAAAGGTTGCTGACCCATACCAAACTCTCAGTCGATGTAGCAGCACTCCACTGCTAGTCAGGCTATTTGTCAGTCGATGTATGTACTGAAGCCCCCGGCAGCAGGCTATTTGACGTTAGGTGAGTATGACATCATCATGCTTAACTAACTCAGCAGTATAAGATATATACATATATATATATATATATATATATATATATATATATATATATATATATATATATATATATATATATATATTTTTTTTTTGTTATATATATATATATATATATATTATAAAAAGCAACTATTATAGGTGCTCAAAAAAATTGAAGCAATTGCTTGCCATTTTAAATTTTGAAAAGTTGAAGCTTTTTTATTCACGCCTTTTTCTCTTATATGAGCGATTGCTCAGAGTAAAAGCTTTCGTGTACAAAAAAAGCAATTGCTAAAAATTTGTATTCACATAATTGCAGCAATTACTCTAAAAACTTAGTAAAAGACAGAATTTAGAGTAAAAGCAATTGCTCAATTTTATTCACTTGGTTTAATATATTCCCTGGTTTAATATATTCACCTGGTTTAATATATTTCCAAATAATGTTTCAAACCTACTCTGATAGCTGTTATTGTTGGTTATAATAATAATTTCATTAACAATAGTTAATGATTAATTTAGTTAATATTATAATAGTTAATGTTAGTGTTGGTTATAATAAATCATAAAATTATAAAATATCTTTAAAAAAACGCAATAAAATGCAGATTACGCAGGTTTTATTGTTATTTTTATTTTTTTAACCAGGTTTTATTAAGTTTTATTGGGCAGATTTTATTGGTCGGATTTTTTAATCCCATCTCTGACTGGATCATTCTGTTTTTAAAGTTTCAAAACAAAATTCTGAGACTTTGAAAAAAGAATTATAAATTACTCACTGTTTTATATACATTTTTTTGAAAATGTGTAAACATTTTCAAATGAAGAAAAATGAAGTCAAACAGTGTAATGTAAATTACACTGTTTGACTTCATTTTTCTACTTTTGCCTGATAATTATTGAATGCAGCCAATGTAAATAAATAATAAGTAAAATGAAAAATATATAATAAACAAATACACAAAACAGAAATCACTACTAAAGATATTGTTCAATTTTCTCCATCACATTGCAAATCAAGCAATTATATCAAATTTGAAATATGTTATTAAAAGCAAAAGAAGCAAAAATTTACTTCAAATCAAATAACAAATTTTTCATTTTCTTTAAAAAAAGTTTTATATTAATTTTGATTTTTTTTTTTTAATTTATTGTTCAGTTAGTAACTAAATGACAGTTTTAAATATTAAACAAGTCAAGGTATGTAATTACTTTTTAATCCATTTAATTGTACTAAAGAAAGAATGAACTAGCTAAATAATTTTTTTTAATTTAACTTTATAGTTAGGTTTCCAAAATAAATTCATATCCAAATCATTAAGAACCAATATGGAAGTCATGTGACCAGCTAGCCATTTAAAAAACCAGCTAGCCATTTAAACCAGCTGACCAGCTGCCATTTAAACCAGCTGACCAGCTGCCATTTAAACCAGCAACCATTTAAACCAGCAAACCAGCTGCCATTTAAACCAGCAAACCAGCTGACCAGCTGCCATTTAAACCATTTAAAAAACGAGCAGCCATTTGAACCAGCTGACCATTGACCAGCTAGCTATTTAAAAAACATGGTAGACAATTTACAAAAAATAAACAAAAGTTGTAAAAATAAATATATTTACTCATAAAATTCTATAGCTCTTTCCAAAGCTTGCTGAACATCTATGGGATAATCTCCAGGATCACGATTTCTGATTCTTCCTAAATGTTTACCTTTTGCATGATAAATGTTTCCAAGATTATACAATGCTCTACCTTCACTAACCTAATAAATTTAATTTTAGTATACAACAACATAGTAATAACAATATTTCTAAATGTGTAATAAAGATAAATACATGTATATGCTTTATTACAGATTCATAATAATTGATGAAACAAAGCATAAAATATTTAATGAAGTAAGAAATTTAATAAAACAAGACATAAAATAAATGTCGAAAAAAAAAAAAAAATTTAATTCACAAAAAAATGAATAACAATATGCTTTAAAAAGTTTTTTAAATGTTTAATTTTTGGTTATCACTGGAACAAAAAGTCTGTGTTCACTTTTTACAATAGTAATTTATTTTTAAGAAAAAAAAACATTTCTTAAACCAAAATCTTTTTGTTACCTTTCAAAAGAATTTATTCATGACGTATGGTTTGTTAATAAGATTTAAGAAGATTCAACTTTTAATTTGGTAACTAGATATGCCAAATAAAAATCTTTTAGATGTATCATGTGGGAATTTTCTTATGGCCGTGCAACTCAACTTAAAGGGACTACCAAGTCCCAAGACATGTTGTGTTCATATTAAAGAGAATGTTAAAAAAAAACGTCTGAGCATATTTTTTTTGATTAAAACTAATTAATAAATGTATACCAAGAAAAACAAATCTTGTTGTTTTAGTCAAAGCTCGTCTTCTCCGTTTTCTCTGGTATTTTGAGTATGTAAAATAAACGCAATTTTCCAGGCGCATTATACAGACTTGATAATTTATTCAAGCGCGTTTAATTCATAGGAGTTTTAGTGCTTGACGTCATAGATTTTTGTTTGTTTGTTTAAAACACCAATTGTTATTTTTTACATACAATTTCCAAATCATATTCATTTTTATTATATTTTAAAGTTGTAAAATGTGTTTGTAAAACAAAATTAAAAACAAAATAAAATTAAAAACAAAATAAAATTAAAAGCACAAATAAAATTAAAAACAAAATAGTATTTTATTTGCGCAACTTTTTTTAAATAATCGTCTAGACCACGTGTATTTTGATTTCTTTTGTTATAAGTTTTTCTTTCAAAATATTAGATAAAACAATTTTTAACATCCAATATATATTATGGCGGGGGCTTAAAAATTAAAAAATTAATATATATTAATTTTTATTTTACAGACATACATGGAAACATAATTAACTTGAATGTTCTTAAAACATCTTGCGGAAGAATAAAAAGAATATTCGCGAACACTAAAAACCCGCCAAATTTGCTAACAAACTAATTCTATTGGTTAAAAAAATACGCTGACTAAGGGAAATAAAGTTTTAGAGTATTCTGTTGAAATGTTTTAGGAATTGTATTATTTAGGATTTGTTGCGTTTTGAGATATCTAGCATAAATTTTTTTAAGAATATATTATCAAATGAACTATTACTTTAATATTATGGCTCATTCTTGGAGCCACATCTGTAAAGCCGTAAAACTTTTAAACTATTATCATTTGTTTACAAAAATGTTTTATAATATATATTTTTTAAATTGTCAAAATTTTGAAAGTTAATTACAAATTATATATTTTATTAGTATACTCTTAATTTTTATATCTTTTCTTAGTGCTTGGTTTAATCAATTGTTCGTTAGATTTGTAAAAAACTAACGAACAATTAATAAAATAAACTTTTAATAAAATAAGTAACTATAGTTAGCTATTTAAGTAAAATTTAATAGTAAATTTTTTAAAGAATTTCTAGAATGATTCCAATGATGTCATGCTCTAAAACTTCTATGAATTAAACGCGCTTGAATAAATTATCAAGTCTGTATAATGCGCCTGGAAAATTGCGTTTATTTTACATACTCAAAATACCAGAGAAAACGGAGAAGACGAGCTTTGACTAAAACAACAAGATTTGTTTTTCTTGGTATACATTTATTAATTAGTTTTAATCAAAAAAAATATGCTCAGACGTTTTTTTTTAACATTCTCTTTAATATGAACACAACATGTCTTGGGACTTGGTAGTCCCTTTAAAAACTTTCAAAACTTTATCAATTTTTCTCATCACAAAATAGACTTTGATTTAAATGCTGAATGAGTATTTTTTGCTACCAGCTATGACAAATCTTTCTGTGATGGTATTTTTGCGACTGTTAAAATAGTAGTTTGTCAAAAAAGTTTAAAACAAGTATCTAATGGGCAGATTTTAGATGTTAAATATAAAATAAACAGATTTGAATGTTGATCTATTTTTTGTGTAAATTCAAAATAACAGGCATTTGTTTTAAGTTACTTTCAATGGAACTGACAAGAACAGTTCCAAAACAACAACGATCATCATTTTAATCCTATTAGTTCAAATACAATAAGTTATAGAAAAAAAATGTGAATACATTAAATTATTCCAAAAAACAAAAATAAGGAAGAGATTTCATTTAACATTAAAAAAATTAGACTATACTGCATGGTTTTATAATGAATTCGGTGCATAGAGATTGTAGAAGATGCAAGTGAACTTGATATTAAAGATTGCAAAAAAAAATTAATTTGAAATGTAAAAGTGACAAAAATTTTGTGTGTAGATGATTTCATATGTCTGCCAATGATCTGCTTGTTTTCTTAGATTAAATTTAAGTTACCTAAACTCAACGTAAGTAAAATTAGACTTGAATTCTTTTAGAAAAATGCTCTTTAATTGCAAAAAATATAAAGAACAATACAACATAAGTTTAAAGTATCAAGAAGTTCATAAAATTATCTTTCAAATCAAGTTTAACCTTACATGTACAATAAACAACTTTATCTAGTAACGTAAGTTTGACTAAGAGCAATTATCTTTGATATAGCAGACTAAGAGCTATATTCTCTGATCTAGCAGACATTCTGTGGAATGACCCATCATTATGATGGAACAACAATCATCATCATTTTATACTTTTTAGTTTAAACACAACAAGTTGAAAAAAAAATGTAGATACATGAAATTATTATAAAAAACAAAAATAATAAAAAGATTTTATTTAACATTAAAAAAATGAACTATACTGCATGTTTTCTTTGATGAATTTGATGGATAGGGATTGCTGAAGATGTAAGTGAACTTAATATTAAAGTCAGATTCATGCATCCGCATACATAATATTTTGGCTAATGAGTAAAAATAAGTTCTGTGTCTTTAAATCCAATGTTATATGCATAATTTCTACACCCACAACAATATCAGGTCATACATACAACATATCTGATTTTAATTAAAATAATATAAACAGAATTTGTAAAATAATATAAACAGATTTATTTGTCAGGTTAGGTTTATCCTGCTACTGGAAACATGCACAATCTGCTTCATGTCCTGCTGCCTTGAAGGATACGCCTTTTTAGGCAAAAGGCTAGAAGATACCAACTCCTTCATAAAATATCCCATGCCTTGGGGCTCTTGGTTGAGTAAAGGCTAGAGATGGTGTCACAATAAAAATACTCATTTTGGGCAGATGTTAAATGCATTAAGCTGCTGTCTTGTAGAAGGCCTCCTAGGCAAAGACTTAAGTGGTAAACAGATTTGTTGACCAGCCTCACACTCCTACTTCATCTATTAGGCTGGCGCAGATGTATTTTTAATACATTAATTCCAGTTTAGGATGTTGAATACTGGATCTCCTTGACTCGAGGCATATTATTTGCTTGCCTCTCCTTTTTTATGACTAGGCAACTCATTCTATTATCTCCAAATGAGGGTACAGCTCTAAAACTCAGTTTTATGGTTCTGAGGCTGGCTGGAAATCAGGTTTCCCCAACTCTGTGGTTACTCTCAGAGAAGCTGATTTCACCAACAGCTAAATAAAATCAAAGTACTAACAGTGCCATGTTGCGCAAAGATGGTGTCCCTATTAGCATTTTTGGTGTGCATTGCCAAGGCCACATTAAAGCACTTTGTTATGGCTTAGGGTTTAATAATAGTATGGAGGCAATTGCTTGGGCTTTTAAACAGTGTACTGAGTACTATCTGTTTCGAGTCAAGTTTTTTAACAAATTTAAAAATGAATAAAGTAACAAAAACTATAAAACACAAAAAACCACTGTCATCACCAAATTCGATAAACCTATCATTCACTAATATTCGTGGTCTTCGAAATAACTTTTCTTCTGTTGTATCTTATCTCTTTCAAAGTTTACCAGACCTAATTGCTCTTTGTGAGATTAATTTGAGTTCAGCTGTCTCATCTTGTGATCTTAGTGCTAATGGTTATCTTCCTTTAATTACTAAAGACTCCAATAGTTACATGCTTGGCCTGGGCATTTACATTCATAAAAACTCACCCATTCATCGGGAAACTAGGTTTGAATCCACAGATTACTCTTTTATGTCAGTTTCTCCACACTCACCCTTAGGTGCTGCTGATCATGGTTTGGTCTCTCTAAAACTACTATCTCAATCTTCTTTATCATCAGAATCCCCCTATCATCGTAAATCTTACAACTAGCCTAAAGCTGACTGGGACTCTTTCTGTGATATTCTTTGTGATGGCCCTTGGGTAGAAATCTTTTGTCTTCCTGTTGACAAATTTGCTTCTTACATAACTTCTTGGATTCAGGCTGGCATGGAATCCTTTATTCTCTCTCAACGACTCCAGGTTAAGCCTCACTCTTCTCCATGGTTTTCCTTACATTGTGCTGCTGCAATTGCCAATCAAAACCATTACTTCTATATCTATCAGCAAAACAATTCTCCAGAAAACAGTTGTCTGTTTATTACTACTAGAAATCATTGTAAAAAGGTTTTGTCTAACGCCAAAGAACGCTATTCTCAGATCATGAAATCTCATATTTCATCACAAAATTTAGGCTATTGTGACTTCTGGAGAATCTTTAATAGTATCAATAACAAGGGCAATTCTGTAATTCCACCTCTTTTGTACGATTCAGACTTTGTCAACTCACCTAAAGACAAAGCTGAATTGTTTGCTAAGAACTTTTCATCAATACCATCTCTTGATTCCACTAGTTGCGCTCTACCTGATATAGCCGTCAACCAGGTTGATCCATTGCTCGAAATCCATATCA